AAAAAAGAAAAAACCTGGAACATCAAATCCGGACATTAGGCGTGAATGGTGTGGCTCATGCTTTCCTGTCAGATTAGAGTTCTTTATGAGGGATGTGAGAACTAGCTCAAATTGCTATCCTCATCCCCACCTTGAGTGCTCTCTCATGAGAGAAACAACTGGGACCCTGAATAGATGTGCCCTGGAAACATGCTTTTCTACGGAATTTCCTTGGCTTTTGGTGCTTACCAGTTGAGAAAAATGAAAATGTACTACTTGCTTCCAGGTCAGAACTTCCACAAATGCAGGACTAAATCTATAACCTATCCTTCTCTTCCCATCCTTGACACCTTAGATGGGTCTGTTCTTTTGCGAGCACTCCCACTCTGGGAATTCTCTCCTTTTTTCACTGCTTGTTGTTTAATCACTAAGTAATGTCAGACTCTTTTCGACCTCATGGACCGCAGCCCATCAGGCTCCTCTGTCCGTGGGATTTCCCAGGCAAGAGTACTGAAGTGAGTTGCCACTTCCTCCTCCAGGGGATCTTCCCAACCCAGGGATCGAATCCAGGTCTCCTGCACTGCAGGCACACTCCTGTCTGCGCCACCAGGTAAGTCCTTTCCACTGGAGACCTCGCCAAAACAGAATTTAAAAGGCCTACTTCTTTTAGGCTGACTGGCTTGTTGGTTACAATTGTTTTTAATGTATGCAGTTTTCATCCACTTACTATTATAAATATGACATGCATGAAGACTGTCATGACGAGTAATTGGTTCAGTATTCAGTGTTTTTGTCGATACCTGTTTGGTTTTTACTTAAATTCTTACCTTAGGCAGACATGACAATTGTTAAATGCCAGAGATCTCCTTTCTAATCATTAATTTGTTAATTCTGAATATTAACTTGATTAAAAAAATGTAAAGCTGGCACATCATCTACTAGTTATTTATCACCAAAAATCAAAACCCAAAACAAGAAAAATATTGCATTAAACTTAGTACAAATTTGCTTCTAATTCCAAACTTTCAGACAGCTATAATTTCTAAGTATTTCTCCAACACAGACTCTAATTAAAAAAAAAAAAGGGGGGGGTACCTATTAAGTTTTAAGTCACAGATGGACAAATAGCATTTAAACATTAAAAACAAAAAGTGGTCAAAATGTGAGACTCTTAGGTTTACTTTTTTGTAATTTGTACTGTACCCTCTTTGAAGTCAGAAATATAAAATTGGTCTTTTCATTAACTCCATGACCTAAATTCAAAATCTTCAATACAAATACAGGGCATATTATCTTTTATCAGAATGATTCTCACAGCACTGAATACAAATTCTTGCATAGTACTTCAATAATACACATTTGAGATATATGAAAAGTAAATTAATGATCAACTTAAGAAAACTCTGCTATAACACTGTAAAACCCTTGAATACTGTAACTGTCATATTATATTGTATATTAGAAAAATATTAGATAAAACATGACCATGGATATCTCAGGAAAATATTCAAGCAATATTTTGCAAGAAATCTTATTATTCCAAATAAAATGATTCTTCCAAAAAATGGACTTTTATATAAGGAAATATATGGAACCCATCATTTTTCTCATTTCTACGTAATTTTTTTTCTTTCAGTTTACTTCTCTTTAATGTACTTCAATCACAAATGTTCATGAACTTCATGGGGAAGACAAATTTTCCTGGAAGCAGTTTGCAGAGCTGAGATAAAAAATAAGGGGAGTTTGTTTTTGCTCTAATTATTTGATACCTCTTTGGGTATTCTTACAGCGGCTATGGTATTAAGAAATGGATATTCCAGTCCTTATTCTGTCATTTGTTTTAACTTGTTTAATAAAAAGGTCATCTGCCCTAGTTATGAGGCTGTAGAAGTTCTTTAAAGTTTATAAAATGCTGTAACAAAGTATACAAATCTGCAGTTCCAAGGGAAAAAAAAATTGCTATGGTAGGGAATATAAAATCCTGCCAACAACATACTATAGAAAATAAAAATAAAGCTTAACCACTAATAACAAGCATTAATTTGCTGCTATGTTTAGAACAATTTCAGTAAGTTCTAACACATTAACAAAGAAAACTGAATGAATGCTCTTTTCCAAAGCTAAATTATGAAAATAGGCGTTTGTACGTATCTGCCTGTAAAAGATCAAATTAAAATGTATCATTATAAAAATAATATACTTTGATGCAGCAGTTCTGAGAAAATATCTTGAAGAAATAATCAAAGATGTTTAAGGATATGGCATTATTTACAATAAAAGCTGGAAAAGTCCTAAGTGCCCCAAATGAGGAGACAATACACTATGAGGCATCTACAAATGAAAGGGATTTAAAAATGGTATATAAACCTATTACCATACATGGAAACACTACAGAGCAATATGCAATATATAATCCCATTTTAAAATGTCTGGGGATCATTTGTAAATGACAGGCTATCATCCTACCTCTGTCTTTTTATTTTGAATGTCTAGCTTTTCGACAATGTCATATGTGATTTTTTACAGGATTAAAAAAGACCAAATCCATTCATACTCTATACAGAAGTTATTTCCCAGGTTAAGTGAAGGCTAATATGATTATTCTGCAAATACTCCACATATTACATAATTTTTAATAATTTTACTGTCATTATGTATTAACCAAAGTCCTCTAGTTCAAGCTGGAGACTTCTATTTCATAACCGGATCTCTAACTGGATTTTTAATGACTTATGCACTTTGAGATGATAATGTATTTTCCTGTAGAAACAGAAGAAGATAGGCTATTACCAAATTTATTTAACCCATGTTATAGATGACAGAAGGAATATCTGCAAAAAAAAAAAAAAAATCACAATACTGATCATTCAATAAAAGCATGAAATGAACATGCTGAATGCTGGAAAAGCAGATCAAATCAGATCAGGAGAATAAACATTCGGATGAAAACTGAAAATTATGGAGGGACATTCTGAAAACTTTCATTGGCCTTTGAGGTTGACAGAAATGCTTTATGTCTCTAATTTCACTTCAGAATCTATGGTAGTCGTTCTCTGATATCACAGTACCTTTATACTATCACTCATGATAAGGAGAAACTTTTTAGCCCCCAAATGAAATAAAGAGAGCACTTCTAGCAATAGAGAGACAGGAACTAGGGAGAAAAGGGATACGGAAGATTTTTGTATATGTGTGACAAAAGGAGTCAAGAACACTTTGGTACCAAAGGTGACTTACAACAATTTTAAGTGAGAATAACTGTGAAGAGAGGAAAAGGCAATATAGAGCCATTTCTTCATATAAATATTTTCAGAATTTTCAACTGTACAATGCCTGAGAGCTGCAAATTTTCCTTGCTATTCTATGTTAATATAATTGATGCAAAATGCAGGACAATTTTAAAAAGTTAACAACTGCTTTTAGTAAGACTATTTTATTTAAAAAATTTTCAAAATATAAAAATAATAAACATTATGGGTATTAACAAACAAAACAACATAATTCAACTATAAATAATAAAAAATGTTGACAACCCCACAGAAACATGTAATACTATAAACATTCTAGGCATACAAGAGTAGTTTTCTAGTTCAAGTTTTACCATTTTCAAGTTTTATCACTTTAGAAATAAACAAAAAAGCTGCTACAGCTTAACCAATTACTTTCGCTCCACTCAAAGAGCAGGGAATTTTTCCCCCATGCCAACACACATTCATGAAATGGGATACTTATGGGCACAGGTATTAAGAACTGGAATAACCCAGTCTCCAGACAAGAAGGAATTCCTTTGGTGTTTTTAGGTTCAACAATCCACAGAAGTTAAGTTAAACTAAACCACTATTAAAGGAAATCTTGTGCCAGACATGTTCTGAAGTAATATCACACCCAAAACAGGTTCAGGATTCTGAGAATCAAAAGTAAACATCTATGAATGCTTTGCTGATACTTAAAAATTGTATCTTAAGAACATTCACTAAGGTGCTGGAATGAAGTCCTGCAGAAGCAGAAAATCTGCACATCAGCACAAAACTTGTACAATGTAAATAATACATCTCTTTACAACTCATCAAATGTTCTATAAATATTTAAGAATTACCCTGCCTCCTGATGAGTAAAGACAGATGGGAATTGAAAGCAGAAGAGGATTACACCATTTTTTAGGACTAGAAACATTTTCCATTTGCAATTGGGAAAATTTGAGCCATGCTCAATGTATCTTTTTTTTTTTAGACTAGTCATATTGACACAATTCCTCTTATCAAAAGAGCTGCTGACAAATTGAAGTATTTTCTTTCTCGGAAGTTGGACACCAATTAGCATAATGTCATTCTGCATCATTCTCTTTAAATTACAGGGTGTTTCTAATTGGCTGGGCTCTTTACCTGACTCATCACAGACCACTTTTATAATTATGCTGCTAGATTAGATTAAGTTATAAACAATCATAGATTTAAGCTCAGCAAAGTCTGGATAACAGGTTGAAAAATGATATTGAAAGGTTTTGTAGCACCAATGACTTTTTCCTAAGACACTTGAGGGGCTGCATCGCTTTAAAGTATTATTTCTCTTAACAAGAGAAATTTTTGGTAAACAAGACCAAAAATATTCAATTGATCTGTACTTTAAGCAAATATTTATAAACTCTATTTGAAAAAAAAAAAAACACATATAGCATGACTAGGGCAGCTAATAGTGTAAAATCTAAGTATATTGAAAAATATAAAGATATAAAAAGGCTTTCATAATGCAATCATGGAGAGGTAAACTGCTTCATTCAATTACACAAAAGTGATTCTGTACAGTTATCTACATATAGCTCCATGAGAATCTTCTTCAGGGAAATAATGAAAATCCTCATATTTAATTAATAAACATGAGAACTTACTAAAATATGTACCTGACCTACCAGATCACAAAGCAATTTTTCAAAAAGTGCAATGATTTTAACGAGAATTAAATCATCTCAACTTCTGATCCCAATGGCATGTTCAATTTCATTTTGCTTTATTTTGTTTTTAATTTAAAAGCAAGGGGGGGGGGGGGAAGGAAGATGACAAAATAAGAGAGAGTAGTGGTATGTGATCCACAGCTATTAATCAACCCAAAGCTGTTAACAGCAAGTATGGTCTCTTCAGAGAATTATCTTTGGGTTTTCAGCCCAGCATGTTAGAACTATTCTAACTGTTACACAGACAGAGAATCTTTCCTTACAAAGAAAAAAATACTGAACTGACCTGGGAAAATATCTGCGAATTCCCAGCGGCTACATGTTAGTTTACAATGTGAACTAATACAAAAGTCTAATTTTTAAAATGCCTTGTAGGCTACAAGGTCATAGTTAAGAAAAATTTCCAAAATACTTACTGTTCCTTTAAACCAAGTCTACATTAACCATGCTGTTTTTGATTAATATGAATCAAAATAGATAATTTACATTATGTCTGATGTATTCATTTTTTTTTTTCCTGACAACAAATGCAAAGAGAAAGTGCTTGCAGAATACTTAACTTTGCACAAAAAGGTGAAAATGTGAGCATGGCTGAATGGAACTAAAAACAAAAGGAAAACAAGGGTGAAGAGAATCAAATATAATTTGGACCCTTTTAATGAAAAGTTGCAATTAAGTGTAACTTCTAACTTCTAAAATGTTAATGAGAATCTAAGAAGGAACACTAAGAAATTAATGTTCTGAAAACTTTATGGTGCCCATTATAAAGAGGGTACTTTGGATGAAAATTTAGAATAAAATTTAACTTCACTCTTTATAAATAATTCTACACCATATTGCTTACAAATAAATAACACGGACATACACCTCTTAAGGCAGGAAAACTACAGTCTTTAACAGTGTTAGACACACACTATTTCCCCTTGCTTTTAAGATTGTCTTTGATGTCTTGGTTGCAAGTGAAGAAAACAAGGAAATACTGTGTAAATCAGACGTTCATTAGATATTTCTCAATATTTATAATTCACAGATCATCCCATACTACTTGAAAAGCAAATTATTCTCCTTGTTGATTTTGAAGAGTTAAGAATTTTTAAAAATTATTTGGGTAAGTGGCCTTGGCGTAGACTTCAATAAATATATTTAGAAGAAACAGGCAAGTTATTACCATGTGAAAAAAATATTTTAACCATTTGTTCAAAATTACTGTAAGTAACCATCCTAACTCCAGAAATGTATCCTAAAGCCCAGAAAAATTAAAGCCAAACCACGGTTTAACTTTTTAATCACTTTCATCATTCTAGATTGTTCATGCTGATGAACATAGTATCATGGCTTTATAGATTTCCTAGATACAATTTCAACTTGGCTGAGCCTGAAAACTCATTTCATGTTAGGAAAACCAAGAGGATTTTTTTTTTCCTTCTTAAGAATGTTTAAAAACAAACGGCTATAAAGGGGAGAAAACATTTAAGTATAAGATCAGACAAAGCACACACTCAGATTTACTTCTGGACTCAGATGTACCCTAAAAGAACTGGAAAAATAAAAATGCCAATTATGGTACATGTAAACATCTATTCAAACTGGTAAAGGGCAAACATAAAGTGATAGTATCATATTATTATAACAGTCGTCTCCAGACAGGAACAGGTCTTGCTGTTGTAGTCACAAAGCTAAATTCAGGCAATGATGATCTCCCTCTGCTGGAAAAAGAGAAGACTATTAAAAAAAACTCTGAAAACAGTAAATAAATCTAAAACTTGAATCATGCCATACATTGACCTCCAACTTTTTAAAACATTACATCTGAGAAAGGAATCAAAATGAAAGTTGCAGACAAATTTTACAAATATCAACCATGGTTTAAAATGATTTTAACAAAACCTCTCTGCAACACGCTTCACTGAAACATTAAGCTGCGCAGATCACAGCTCGGCAACACAGTTATGATCCAAATTTTTCATTAGGAAATGTCATGATGGATCATATAGTAAATTTTTATCAGTGTGGGTTGGCAAAGTAACAATTTTAAGAAATAATTAACAAATTTCAAGATATTGGTTAAAAAATAAAACCAAGAACAATTGTTTTAAGGTTCCCAAGGACTACAAAATAATCGTGAGCTATATATATATAATTTCCTTAAACTCCATGGGATAACCATTTCATTCTTCAATCGCACTGTATGACATAAAATACTATACTAAGCATAATGATAAACAACAAAAGTAAATAAAAAGGAACATATCAAAATGAGACAGTGTTTGGTATACAAAAGAAGACTAATTTGGACGATGAGATGATAAGAGGATGGATGAAATAAAGTAACAGGGAGGGAAGGGTTAGAAAGAAACAAATATAAATTGGTACAAAAAAGTAAAAAATGCTTCAATTATACTAAGCTAATAAGTACATAACACTGATAAAATGCAAGAGCCAAATTAGAAATTTCTCTACTGAATAAGTATAACATTCTCATTAGAAATTACTAAGCATGTCAATCAAATTCACCAAGGTTTCTTTCTTTCTTGGGTCTCTTAGATAGCTGTTCTGGATATCAGATAGCTGTCATGTGATAATCTGCTGTCCTCTGATAGGGATACAATAATCAGAGAGCAAAAAATCTTTTCTTCTCTAAAAGCCTATAAGCTGTATACATACCTTAAAGTAACTAACTAGCCAGTTCAAAAAGTTAATAAGATAGTTTCTGAAAATATGGGAAAAGGAAATTTTTTCTTTCTGCCTTACAAATATTGTATGCTCATGATTTATCCCTAGATTAAATTTCTACTTTTAATTATACAGTGTTTCAGAAGAATGGGAATAGCACTGTGAAAGACCAAAAAGATAATAATAATAATAAGCTAATAAGCTTATTAAACTAAGCTAACAAGCCAAAACTTTTACACAGGACATTTTTGTTTTAAAATGCTAAGATGTTTTTGGTAAGGGAAGAAAAAAAAATCTTACAAATATTTACATAAATTCTAGGACTAAAACTAATTTTCTATAATTAGTTCACACTACAGGTAAGGGGAAAAAAGGAAGAAAATATAAATTGATCAAGTTTGTATGATACTCTAAAATAGCCATTGATATTTCAACATACTAGACGAGCAACTGTTTGTTTTCTTTTTGTAACCTTTAGAACCAGTGAGTAGTGTTCCAAGTAAGACTGCAAATACAGTCCCCATAAAACAGTTCTAGTAAGAAGAAATTTCCTCCAATTAAACCATACTTTTCACAGGTAGTCAGCTAATACAGTGAAGTCTTATCTTAATAGTAAACTATTATTTAATACATTTAATCATATCACAAAATAAAACAAGAGCTATGGAATACTATCCCATCCATGCAACATGATTTCATTAAATGCTGAATTCTGGTTAACTACCAAGATTAATTTTTAAATGTTACAATTATCCAATAACATTTAAAACAACACTGCTATGTAGAGACATAAGATACTGAATGAAATATGCAAAATGACAACTCAACCATCCCTTGAGGTAATCCTAATCAATCTTTAACAAATGATATATAATTTCCTTCAATTTTTTTCCTGAAAAAAGTAGCTGTCTACATCTCAATTCCTTCTTCATTCCCACTTCAGCCCAGATCTATACTATGGCAAAAAACTTCTAAGGAAAACTGAAGAATTAAAAAATGTATTTCAAGTTTTAGGTAGATATTATAATAAGAAAGAGTTTTAAACTCTGAGTTTAGAACTGAAAGGAAAAGTTGTAAGTACGAAGAAAAAGTGCAAATACAGAAGTTAATCTATACTTTTTAGGTTAAATGTAATTTGTGCAGCAAAAGCAAACATCTGGGAACGGTATACAAAACTGTACCAAGATACACTGTATGACTTATCATAACCAAATCCAAGTTGCTTCTACTGATGATAAAAACAGTAACAGCAACAACAGGTAGGGAGAACTGGTATAGATATGTTAAACTGTTTTAGATCAAACACTGATATATTGCCAGGGAAACAAAAGATGTGAAAGGAATCTTAAGAGGTCATCTAGTCCAACCCTTTTCATTTTACAGACAAGGAAACAACCCTGGATGAGTTAAGAGACTTGTCTAAGGCCAGAAAATTAGTTACAGAGCTTGGGACCAAAAGCTAAATCTCTTAACACTTGTCCAGTACTCTACACTCGCTCATCATCTGAATATAAAAAATTAATGGGATGGACTAGATTAGTGGTTCTTGACATTTCTATTCTTACACACTGATAGAAACCAAAAGGCTAACTTACTCTTGAAATAGACATTTAATATTCCAAAATGTTAACAGCTTACTAATTGCTATGGAAATTCCACTAAGACTATGTGTATATTCCTCCATCACTATTTGTAACAAACCCCACTGGTACAATACTTAACAGAATCAACTGTTTACTAAGACAGTCCCAAATAATTGAGAAGAGCTTCAAGAAAGATTTCTGGAAAATTGATAAGAATTAACAAGGGAGGTAATTGTCACTCCATTATTGGAGATTTAAATATGCATTCATTCATTAATTCATCCCACAAACAACTGAATGTTCACTATGAGCCAGGTTTTATGATAATCACTAGAGATAAAGATGAATAAGACATGGTCCCCTTCTTAGAGGAGCTTGTAATCTAGTGGGGAAGACAGACATATAAACCAGATAAACTATATTACAACATAAGTACTGTAACAGAGATATGAACAAAGTGCTGTATTAAAAGGGATGGTTAAGGTATGAACTGGCTAATGACCAAAAAGACTAGTAATTTTGCGTAACATCTACTACATTTACTGCAAACACAATCTTCATGCCCGACCAATAATTAGGAAGGAGGTAGCAACATAGTTTTTTAAAAAGCTGGCACTGAAATCAGAGTGCCTGCATTCAAATCTAGTCCTTCTATTTACTAGCTATCACTTAGGGCAAGTCATTCCATCTCTATTAGCCTAAGTTTCCTTATCTGTAAAATGGATATCTTAAGTTTTAAATGAGAACGCATGAAAAGTACATGTAGAGTACTAGTATTTTTTTATAAACATATTCATTAATTTAAAAAATCCAATAGCAATTTAATACTAAATAATATTTACAATTAAAACCATATTAATGATAGTAAAAATATAATTATGAACCTGATAATGTTGCTAATATTTAATCCCCATACTTCAGGACCCGATCAAAACATACTTGCGTTCTGATTCATTCAAAGCAACATTGTGTAAAACATTTTAATTTTAGGTTATGACAGAATTTAAGAATAGGGAAAGTGATTAGCTATTTAGGGATTTAAATAATTTCAGTTATAAGTGAATTTTACAATAATTACACAATATCACACTAAAATTTGCTAATCAAATTATAAAGCCAAAAATCAGTATGGAGATTTAACTGGCCTTTGAAAGATTTTCTTTCTTTATAATACCTGTTTGGTGTAAAGAGAAGAAACGTGAGCCTCTGCCAATTTGGCATCTTTCACGACTACTAAAAAGAAAAGAAAACAAACTTACCTAATGAATCAGAATAGCACATAGTCAACATACAAGAGACTATACATAAAAATATATCACAGCTCTAAGTATAGTAGAGAAGTTGAGTAAAGTCACTATTTTGACAAAAGAAATCTGACTGTGAAATTTTAAATATAAAGGTGTGCATCAACTGCAAGCCAAAACGTTCCTATGAAACAGAACTACCATTGGGAGTATATATACAACTTTAAGTGGAGGAAGAAAAGAAAAAGAGGAACAGCATCCATGAGCTACTCCACTGGCAAAAGACTATGGTGGTGAAACTACAGTTTGTGACTGTGAGGACCCCAGCATGGGAAGAAAAGTTTTTTTGTGTGTGATTTTCAATATAATCACTGTAATCTCAGAAGGGGCAGAAATACTTGCAACCAAAAGGATAAATTTAAAAGATAAATATGTAATCTCCCACCCTCCATTCTACAAAGAACGCATTTATTTCCTGGAAACTGCTGTATCAACTTTCAAAGATCATGTTGTCAGAGAAGTCCACTTAAAAATCACAATATTGTTGCAAATGTCAAAGATTTTTTTTTTTTATAGAAGTATAGGAAATGCACACTTAAAATATCAGACTGGAACACTTACCAAACAGTGCTTTCCTAAAGTAGTATCTATAGTACATTTCTTTATTCATACATCTTCAAATGGTCAAGTTTTCTTTCATACATCCAAAATGTAATGTGATGTTTTCTTATTCACCAAATGTTATCTCTACTTGAAGTCTGGTTCCAAACTAATCAGCCTGCTTTTAAATTTTAAGACATCTGTTGAAAGTTTATAGGATCAAACCAAACTGAAGTGGTATAAATTTTAAACAATGGATTGTACATTATTGTAAAGGTACCAGTAACCATTATTAAGAATAAGTTAGTGATTATAGCTCCTTTTGTGATAACTGGGGAGAAGGGTAGATCACCATCTGGAATGGTCTATTTAATTCTTTTTCTTTTCTTTTTTTTTTTTTTTAAATCAAGGAACATTGTCTTTTTTTTTGTCATTGCTTTTTTTCTTTTCTTTTCTTTTCAAGAGACCATTCCACTTTATTTTTTAACATCTGAATGCATAAGGACTCAAATGCAAAGCAGTCATACACCGTTATCATTAAAACCCATATGGTAAAATACATACACAAGTCCAACAAAAGGCTAATACATAGTAAAGCCTAAGCATACTACTATGTAATATTATGAATACATAACTTGGAGACTTTAGTTAAAGAGTACTATGTTATCTATTCATTTTTTGAAAACATTCATTAAGATTTTAAATGCAAATTCATTCCTTATTTGGAGTAAAACAAAATTCTCTAAGTTATAACAAGTATTGGTCATTAAGTCTTCAGACCGATTCATTAAATTACAAAGAACCCAAAGAATTCTGTAATGTTCAGTAAGTATGTAATAAAAACATTGCATATGTTTCTAGTGTGATGTCTTTACCAATTGTTTACTGAAATAAAATGCAAACATCAATCTTTCAAAATACAGGATTCAGAAGGTAGTTTTCTTCTCTTTTGTCTATTTGTGAAATCCATCTTCATCACATTTTACCAAAAATTGTTTTTACAAATATGTAAAAGTACATTAGATAATACTAATGAAACACAGGTAGAGTTCTATCATATGCAGATCAATGATCAGTCAAATCATCTTCTCCAAGAACGAGATTCATTGTCCTCTTCTTCTTCATCATCATCTTGAAGTAATGAATCATCCACCAAAGACTCTTCCTGAAACTTTAGGTTAAAATGCATTTAGGAATTTACCCAAAAAAAAAAAAAAAGAAAAGAAAAAAGGTGACACTTTTAAATACTGATTACTCTCAATAGAGTCGAATACAAAAGGTATTGCTATAGCTAGAACAGTCAAGAAACAAAAAGCAACCTTCATCCGCCCAAAGGTTTCTCAGTGCTATCTATTCTATTGCTTATATCAAACAGACACTAAAAAAAAAAAATCAAAGTAATAAGCCTTTGTACATGCCATTTCTCCTGCCTCTCTTTATCAAATTATGCCATCTTCTACACCTACAAAACATTGCTGCACACCTTTTTTTTTTTTTTAAAGAAAACATCAGTAATTCTTCTCTGATACTAAATCAACCAGTAACTTGAATAAAGTTTATCAATATTTATATTTCTCTTCTGCTGTATGTAACAAACATTTTCTTTTACAGCATTCTTCTCTTTTCCCCATTCCCTTCATAAAAGCTTCTCAGACTACTTTTCAAACTTTTCAAAATACCTAATACCAGGAGCTCTCCTGCTTTTCTCCCCATTCAATTCAAACTCATGGAAGGACAAAGGTATAATCTAAAATATAAAATGACAAATCATGTATATGAGTTTCAAAATACACATTTTATTCTTGCATTTGACTATGGACATGTATAACAGTCTCAAATGCTCTTCAAACAAAATGAAGTGCCATAATGAAAATCTAATCAAGGTAAAACATGGAACCATTTAGTTTTCCCACCTTACCTTTATTCCCTAACTTCCTCAATTTTTTTTCCTACAGCTTATTTCATGATTAAACAAAACAGAGTTGCTTATTTTTAGATTTTTGGTTTCAAAGGGCTCTCCCACTTCAGTGGTCTTTATGCTCCCCCCTCTCAGCCATAAGACTAACTGCTGTTATGCAAGAAAAAATATACTATTCCACACCTCTATCTCTGCCAATTATAATGCCTCTCTAACTATTCCTAGTCCAAGTTCTTGGTTATGAAAAGCATTTTTTTATCACTTGGAGTTCAGCTACACTGCTACCACCTCCTTCAAGATTCTTCGGGAAAGAAAGAATCATTCCTTCCTCTGGGTACCCACAGCATATTGTTCAAATCTTTATTCACCATATCATTCTGCCTTTTATTATAATTAGCTGCTTGTGTCTATCACCACCTTCTTTTCCAGATTGTATTGCTCCTTGTTGATAGGGACCGTGTCTTATTCATTTTTCTGCCTATCGTAGTATCTACCATATAGCAGGCATTCGTTCTAATGAACTAAAATGATATGAGTTAAAATAAAACCTGAAATGTTGATAAAGTAATTAAGTAAAATATATACTCTAAAAGTTAGAATATCACAAGACTTCCTGTGGATAAAAATCTAAAGAGTAATTATTGTCTTCTACGAGTAAATGAAAACTGAGTATATATATGATTTTCATATATTCTTTTTGGATTAGCAATCCACAGTTCTCATTAATACATAAAATTTAGTTATCTGCATTTTATCTGCTATCCCCTGCCTGGAAGGTAGCTCAGGAATAAAAGCTTTATGTTAAAATCACAGTCATAGATCACATTTTATATGAAAATGTAAATGTTTAAGGTTAAAAACAAATGGAAAAAAAAAAAAAAACATACTTCCTCTTCATCAGGTTCAACTTCTTCTGTTTCAACAGCTGAAATATTAGTTATTGGCTTATTCCATGCCAGCTTTAGATCCTGCCCTTTGAAACGAGCTCCATGAACTGCAGCCTAAAACAATGAAAAACATTGGAATACAGAACATTAATAATTTGTGAAGAAAACAATGAAATGTTATAGTACCTAACATTAAATACAAGTGAAGACAGTTGTCTATTTTTGCTTTGTGGTTTATTTCTCTATTTACTATTTATTATTGCAGTTTATAATTTACTTTATATTGTTATTTATTTCTAAAGTCAGCCTAGTCATTTGAGTAGAGCTATTTCAGTATTGGCCAATATCTGACTAGAAGAACTATGTCTCCAAGTCTACAGTAAAATGATAACTGCTCCTCAAGGCAATAATTGCAAAGCACTTCAAGATTCTGGTTTTAGATTTTAATTCTTATTAATTCACAAATGACTCATACAGTAACTAGAAACTAGAAGCCTCTAATAAATTTAAGGATAATTTTGCACCTGTATTTATATTTAAATTACACCAAATAATCACAAATACCATAAAATGCCTGATGTATCACTAATACAAAATACAAATATCTCAATGAAGAAAAAAATTGAGCTTTTCTATTGAAAACTGAAGAACTTCCCTACAAAGCTTTCAGAATTGCATATAATAAACACTGAGTAAGCAGTCAAGCCTAAGGACTTGCTACATTAAATGGCTGGTTCAGAAAGAGTGCTTTCAAACTAAAGTAATGTGAACTAATATAAATCAATGTTGGCAACATACCAAAATAACTCTTAGTCACCAAAGACTTACAGCACACCTCAAAGTACAGCGTAATGTGAAATGCAGAAACAGTTACATGCTTGATGACATCTGACCACGAGAAGAACGATATAAAGTCCACAGGTAGAAATTTTAAATCTACACATACAAGTTTATGGTTAATTTAAAAGATTTCATGCCTATTAAAATGTAGCTCAGAAATTTTTAGTCCATGACCCCATCATGTCATATAACTAAAGAAATTTTAAGTACTTATATATAATATTTAAGTCCAGAAACAAACTGTAATTTTTTGAGGCTATAAATTACATAAAAATATATTCCTGTAAGGAATTCCAACTATGTCATACAAAATGTCTACTCATAAAATTCATGTTTTCATCCAGCTAAAGAAAGCAAAAAATGTTAGTGATGTCATCTATAGTAAGTTCTTCAAAAATTTCTTATGATCTAATTTTGCACATCTCTATATTCAATACTTACTTCAAATTCATAAGGTGAATCTACAACTCTCTAAAGTTTTAGTTTTAAAATTATTTACTGGGTGCTGTCATCCAGGCTTTGTAGGTTCAATTTACCCGTTATGCGTATACATTAGTGTCTCAGTTGTGTCTGAGACCCCACGGACTGTAGCCCACCAGGCTCCTCTGTCGATGGGATTCTCCAGGCAAGAATACTGGAGTGGGTTGCCATGCCCTACTCAAAATTTACACATTATAAGGTAGAGTAAAATTAGCATAAATCTAAGTAGCCTGGGACTTTCGGAATGCTAAGTGAGCTCTGGTTTCAGCTTCAAGGCATTAGTTCTGGGAGCCCCTAACAAAAGTCACCTGACCTTTGAAGCTTTGAAGTCAGGCAATGAGTTTTCTCTAGCTATGAATATCCTAGATGGCATTTTCTTTCAATACAAGGCTCTTTCATCTACACTGAATATCTGTTTACAGTGGCCATCTTCATTAATTATTTTAGCAATAACTCACAGCAGCTTCTGTATTGGCACTTGCATTTTTATATTATGGAGATAGATTCTTTCCTTAAACCTCATGAACCAATCCCTGCTAGCTTCAAACTTTTTCTCTGAAGCTTCCTCATCTCTCTCAGCCCTCACAATATTGAAAAAAGACAGGGCATTGCTCTGGATTAGACATGACTGAGCGACTTCACTTTCTTTCTTTACGAGAATGTTGTGGCCGGATTGATATTCTCTCCAGACCACTAAACCTTTCTGCATATCAACGATAAGGCCTGTTTCACTTTCTTTTCATTCGTATGTTTACTAGAGTAGCACTTTCAATTTCCTTCAGGAACTTTTCCTTTGTGTTCACACCTTGAATAACTGGCACAGGAGGCCTGGTTTTTGTCCTAGCTCAGCTTCTGATATACCTTCCTCACTAAGCCTAATCATTTCTAGCTTTTGACTTAAAGTGAGCGACGTGAGACTCTTCCTTTCACTTGCATGCTTAGAGGCCACTGTAGGGTTATCAACCGGCCTCATCCCAAGGTTGTTTTGTCTCAGGGAACAAGGAGGCCCAAGGAGAGGGAGAGACGCAGAATGGCTGCTTGACAGGGCAGTCAGAACACACATTTATTAACCAAATCTGCCATCTTATATGGGCACAGTTTATGGTGCCACCAAATAACCACCATTTGTTTTGGTGTCACCAGAACAAATATAATAATAATAATGAGAAAGTTTGGAATATTGCAGAAATTACCAAACTGTGATAGAGACATACAGTGAGCAAATGCTGTTGGGAAATGGCAGCGACAGATCAGCATAAAGTGCTGCCACAAACCTTCAATCTGTCAAACAAACAATAATATCTGCAAACTGCAATAAAGTAGAGCACAATAAAACAGAGCATACCTGTATATGTGTGTGTATAAAAACCACACAGTACAGAATTATATTGGAAATATCAGGAGCCTTCAATTTATTTTCTTTATATGTGTGTATATATGTGCTACACATGTATATATATATGTGCACATCTGTATATGAATGCATTTTTCCCCCCACTCCCAGCTCTGACCTCTGAAAAAAATTGTTATAGTTAACATACTCAGTAGTAATGAGCATGCTTAGTACTCAGACTATGGTCTTTAAATACCTTTCCCAGTAATAAGAACCAGAGCTCCTTAGAGAAATGGCCAGTTCCTGGTCTGGAAGAGAAAATGTATAAGATGAACCTAGAACACCTTTTCATACCAGAAAGAAAGAAAATATCATAACCCACTAGACTCCTGTCAAAACAACTCACAAAAAAAACCTATATAGTAGCCACTAGCCAAAGACAGGACACATCAATAACTGAGAACAATGGATCAATACCCATGAAATGTTTAAATCTATGAATTTATAATTATATAATACCAATCTAGCTAAATCAAAATATGCACTTATTATGGATCCCTAAAGGAAGTAAGTAAAATATTTATAAGAAAACCAGGGAAATGTAAACTCTGACTGGGTATTTAATAATATTTAAGGAATAATAATCATTTTTAGGTACAATAATAGTATTGTTTTATTTTATTTGGCCTCTAACATGAAGAGAGACACACTGGAAGGTTTATAGCTGAAATGATATGACTGGGAATGGCTCCAAAACAAGGAGGTAGAGTGTTGTAGTGGGTAGAATATAGACAAAAAAAGATTGGCCATAAGTGGATAATTACTGAAGCTCAATGAGGAACATGTGGGGGTTCATTTTACAATTTTCTCTAATTTCTATGCTTTGAAGTATAAATTAAAAGCCTGTTTAAGCACTGAAGCATTTTATTCATACGCTTGCTCTAGACGTTTGCCTGTTGAGTCTTACACAGCATCATTCAAAGTTTGCACCAAATTAGAAGGTGAGCAGGCAAACATATGACAGAAGGGGAAGAAAGAAAAAGGCCTGAAGATCTGCCAAATGAAGGAAGAAAAAAAGTATGAAAAGTAGTTATGAGGTAGGCTCCGTATCTTACATAGAAAATGATTCTAGAAACAACATTTGGAAAAGGCTGGAATAAGCAAGGAGTGTTTGCCTTTTAAACACGAGTGTTTGCCTTTTGCCTTTGCAAGTTACTTAGATTATAAATCTAAACTGAACGATACAAAGTGGAGCTCTTCACAAACTTAATGACAAGAAAATCCTTTGTTAAAGCTCTTATAAGACCAATGTTCTGCAAAAACACTGTGGGGAAAACGGACCTAAGGTCAGAAGAGCTAAAGATACAATCCCAGTATATCTTTCTTTTTTAGTAACCATAATGGTAAAACTATTTATAAAATAAAGTTAAAACCAAGTTTATTAATGTTTGTAATAACCACAGTATATAATATTTAGGCAGGAGTTACATTAAAGGACCACCAAAACAAAACTCAAAACATGTAAAATCTGATTTTCAGAATTTATAGAGAAAGACTTCTATTTCTTTAGCTTTAAGTTCAAGTTACATAGCCACTTTCTCACAAGCTTCAGACTTAGATTAATAATTCTCATAGCAGTGTTCATTATGTAGCAATACTTAACTATTAAGTTAATCAGTAAGAACACACAGACTATTAAGAACACGATTTGATTTCTCTTGACTGAATCCACTTATACACTTAGTTCTTGCCACAGATTTACTATTTATTCAGTTAGCCCCATCAATTTCTGACTTGATGTTGAACTATCCTCTATGAATCCAATTTTGTGTTTCTATCTTCAGGCCTAAAGAATTAGAGTTTTGAAATCACTTCTTCTATCTTGTTTCTATTCAGTTTCATTGAATTAACAATCAATTCTCATTCACACACAGACACACACACAAATATTAATAATAGCTAACACTAAGATGGTTTGGGTTTCCCAGGTAGTGAACCGGCGCCTCTGCATTGCAGGCGGATTCTTTACCAACTGAGCTATAAGGGAAATCCACAGTGGTAAAGAATCCACCTGCCAATACAAGAGACATGGGTTCAATCCCTGGGCCTGAAAGATTCCCTGGAGAAAGGAATGGCAACCCACTCCAATATTCTTTTCTGGAGAATCCCATGGACAGAGGAGCCTGGCTGGCTACAATTCACAGGATCGCAAAGAGTCAGACATGACTGAAGCAATGTAGCATGCACGCAAGATGATTTATGTTCCAGGCACCATGTTCTAAGTATACTTTATAAGTTTTGAATCCTCACAAATACTGGGAGTTGAGGCATGGGTGTCAAAACCCACCAGTAGAACAAGAGTCTCTTTCCTTTTGCTATAAAAAGCTACATACCTCTTTTGAGTTTGAGATTGTCGAGTTTCATCTTTGGGACTGACTCTTATAAAACAGGAACTTAACTATCCTATTCTAAAACCAGATCCTGGTTGCTTACAAAAGTATAGAACAATTCAGAGTAGGAAAACTAACTTTCTAACCAGTCATGGGAAGAGGTCACTTTTTTCCTGTCCTCTTTGGGTACTTATCCATCTTTAGTACATTGGGGGTGGTGACAGACAAATTGAAGAACAGAAAATAAAGCAACAGGATCATCGTCTAATTAACCAGAGTCAAACCTTAACCATCTTATCCTAAAGTTAAAATGATTGTTAACTTAACCTAAAGTTAAAATACTTCAATTTCTTTTCTGAGGAAAATTTCTTACTTTTCAGTCATATCTGAATGTCTTTGATTATCTTATTCCTTGTACTTTCACTTTGAAATATTATGCATCTACTGACTTAAGAAAATAAGACACATAATCATCTAATACAATGGTTCAGAAATTATGAACAATGAAGTATTTGGAAATAAACATTAAGAAAGATGGACAAATTTCTTTTCCTGGGAAAGCCTATCCTTTGACTTGAGGTCTATCCGCTCACATATTGGCATTATATTTTTCTTTATTATATATAATGACAGTGATGAGAGGCCTGGAGTGCTGCAGTCCATGGGGTCGCAAAGAGTCGGACAAGACTGAGCAACTGAACTGAACTGAACTGAGTGATGGGACAAGTAATTTTTTGTACTTTTTAAGCATTCTTCTTTGAAAAAATTAAATATTGGCAACTCAATGTCAAACACACTAATCTTTAAACTGCTCAACCTAACTCACATCAGATCCAAGTTAACCAAAGTTTTTCCATCACTTATTCAATCTTCACATAATTATTGTTAAAATTTCTCTTTACACATTAATCCCTGGTCTTTAAACTGACTGCTATTTGCTTGGAAAATACATACACAGTATAAAAATATATATTTAAAAAGTTTACACCTGAGAGAGAAAAAGCAAAACCCAAGATCGATGGTGTATGTCAACAGATCTTACCTATTAAAAGCAAAACATCCAAAAATTACATAAGAGGCAGAAAGTTTTTTTTCCCCCTCAGTCATGTAAATAAACAGGGAGAAGTAACAATACACATTGCCAGGGAGAAACATCAATAACCTCAGACATGCAGATGACACCACCCTTATGGCAGAAAGTAAAGAGGAACTAAAGAGCCTCTTGATGAAAGTGAAAGAATAGAGTGAAAAAGTTGCCTTAAAGCTCAACATTCAGAAAACTAAGATCATGGCATCTGGAACCATCACTTCATGGCAGATAGATGGGGAAACAGTGGGTGGCTTTATTTTTCTGGGCTCCAAAATCATTGCAGATGGTGACTGCAGCCATGAAATTAAAAGACACTTACTCCTTGGAAGGAAAGTTATGACCAACCTAGACAGCATATTAAAAAGCAGAGACATTACTTTGCCAACAAAGGTCCTTCTAGTCGAGGTTATGGTTTTTCCAGTGGTCACATATGGATGTGAGAGTTGGACTATAAAGAAAGCTGAGCACCAAAGAATTGCTGCCTTTGAACTGTGGTGTTGGAGAAGACTCTTGAGAGTCCCTTGGACTGCAAGGAGATCCAACCAGTCTATCCTAAAGGAGATCAGTCCTGGGTGTTCATTGGAAGGACTGATGTTGAAGCTGAAACTCCAATATTTTGGCCACCTCATGAGAAGAGTTGACTCACTGGAAAAGACCCTGGTGCTGGGTAAGACTGAGGGCAGGAGGAGAAGGGGATGACAGAGGATGAGATGGTTGGATGGCATCATCGACTCGATGGACATGGGTTTGGGTGGACTCCAGGAGTTGGTGATGGACAGCGAGGCCTGGCGTGCTGCAGTTCATGGGGACAAAACTGAGCGACTGAAGTGAACTAAAGTAGTTACTACATTCACAAATTTGGTAAATACTATAACCAACTGAATGTAACTACCATTGTTTAATAACATGACTATTTTCCAGAAAATAAATAGAACATAAAAGATGGTACTCAAGCTACCTATTCAACATTACCTTGAAAATTGTCACTGAAGGCATCATTTAAAGGAAGCTCATTCTTAACTTACACTTCTACAATACCTCTGAGAGAAAACTAGATCAAAACTCTTTTTCAACATAACATATATACATACAAGCTTATAAGAAAGTTTTAAACTTTAATCAATTATAAACTAGCTTTTATTTTCAGAAAAGACCTTTAAATAAAAAGATTTCTTAAAACTTAACAAAACTCTAGGATGAGAAATTCCTATAAAACTATCCACTACCCACCAATCTAATTCTGAAACTACATTATTCCAGGGCCCAGTTAACACTTCTCTGAGACTTCTCAGATACACAGCCTTTATATTATAGACTACAATGCCCCAAGAACAACTCCTACCAGGGAAATCCCCAGCAATGCACTGCCAGGGGATATTTACTAGATGAGGGTAAATCAACTTAGAAGATTTTCAAAACTTATTCAGACTGCAATCATCTCAAAACTTTTGAAAACCATCCTACTCTTCCATTCCCCATTCATATTAGGTTAACTGTTTGTAATGCTTAATGCACTTTTCCCAAATCAAAAGGGTACATCTACTTCTCTACAATCCTGAACAAAGAATACACAGGGTTAAAAACGTTACTATGAATCCCCTACACCTCGTACTCATTTCTTCTTTTTTTAACCTTTTAAATCCAGAAGAAAGACAAGGTTGCAAATACTTCTGGTTATTTTTTAGAAAGATAATTCAAGATACACATTTGAAGACAACTAGACTGAAAGGACTCTAAAGGCTAGCACTATATATTCATGTCTTGGTAAAAAGCTACAGAGGCCTAGACGAAGATATGCTGAGCTAGGGACACTGTAGGGTTCAGCCAACTGAGTCTATAAAGCCTCAGATGAGGGATGATTAAGAAAAGCAGCCATCAGGATTATTATTTCTCCTTCTACCTTACACTTCACCACTCCTTCTGCCAAAGCAGACTTGTTTTGGGCCAGCTGAGAAAGGGAGAAAGTAAAGGGGCACTACTGGTGTTAAAAAGAGTGGAAGAATTCCTGATGTCTCAAGATAGTACAACCTGACATTCAACTTGGTGACTAGCTATTCTAACAATTCCACGTTATATATTAAAACTGCCTAACTGCTTTAGGACATTCTTTGTGGCCATGAATTCCACTTCACATGTCCTATGTCTTGTCAAAGTGTAGTTATTAAGTAAAAAAAAAATAAATCACTTATATTAAAACATAATTGTAATATTTATAAAACATTTAAATCTGAATCTCAATAAATTAGATTATTTGTAATACTTACTGCTTCAGCTTCTGCTCGTGTCTTGAATGTAATTACTGCATGTAGTGAAGAGTCATCAATCTGACAATCTTCAATTTCACCATATTGCTTTAAATTAAAAAAAAGTATTTCCTCCAAATAAATATTTTGAAACATCCAAAATCCTAATGGTTTTAAAATATTAAAATGCCAACAAATATAAGCCAGAATACATAACAATTCAGGGTGATAAGAAAAAAACTATGAGTAATTCATTTTAGTACTTGATATTATAAGATAAAGGGTGGTCTTATTTTCAAATATTATTTTACAATTCTATACTTTCTAGAATTAGAGAAACTTGACTGAACTATTATTTTTTTAATTTTTATTGGAGTATAGTTGCTTTACAATGTTGTATTAGTTTCTACTATACAGCAAAGTCAATCAGCTGTGAGTATACCTATATCCATCCCTTCAATTGAACTGTTCTTTAAATAATGGAAACATTGGTCAAAGACTGAGTTTCCTTATTGCCATTTCTTTTATGCTCATTATTCTAATTCCAGAAAATGCTAAATCCTTTCTAAAGCAGGTCATTATCCTCAGAAAATTTGAGTTTTTTTGATTACCAATTTAAAGCTGGGGGGCAGGGGAGGAAGATTCAGAGAATTTACATAATTTTTCCAAAGTAACTAAGTTAATTACCAGGATGAGAGTCCAGGTCTTTCAATTCAGAAGTTTATCTGACTGCTGTTTTCTCTCACTCTACACTCCTCTAGAACACATTCTTTGAGGATATTTACAAGCTAAACAAATTATGCTTGCTTTGGGTGTGCTGGATTTTATTTTTTCCATGTACAGGAAGATCTTTCTGCAAATAGCAGAAAACAGCACCTTTATCACATAAAACTTCAGTCCCTTATATATCATTACTAATATTGTCCTTCTGTCTTGCCCTCAAATAAAATTGAAACCACAATCTCATTAAATGCACACACTACACAAAGAAAAACTCTGTAGGGCACAGTAAAGAAAATGGACCACAGAATCAGTCAGATCCCAGCTCTGTTAGTGTTAGCTGTGGAATACTTGAACAAGTTCCTTAATCTCTTCATGTTTCATTTTCCCAATCTCTACAATAAGCACAATAAAAGTACCTACCTCAGAGAGGTGTCAAAATAACTTATAATATGGTGAGTTATATAAAGCATTCAGAAAAAAACCAGCCACAAAATAAGTGCTCTATAAGTTTTAGATGTAATGTTTTATTACTATACTAGTTCCAGTGTATAAATTAAAGAAAGCATTTCATTAATCACAATTTGTTACAATGTTTAGTACTATAAGGTTTTTTCTGATACCTGTCATGTTCAAATCACAGGTTGAGATAGAGAAGCTATCTTACTTAAAAACTGACAATTTCTAAATGTGCATTACCACTACTAACTGAGTAGAATTCGAATCTCCAAACTCATGCAAGACTGAATATCCATTTAGAGGCTCTGAGTATTTCTAAACTTTTCTAAGCTTCCCTCATAGCTTAGTTGGTAAAGAACCCACCTGTAATGCAGGAAACCCTAGTTCAATTCCTGGGTCAGGAAGATCCCCTCAAGAAGGGATAGGCTACCCATTCCAGTATTCTGGGGCTTCCCTTGTGGCTCAGCTGGTAAAGAATCTGCCTGCAATGTGGGAGACCTGGGTTCTATCCCTAGGTTGACAAGATCCCTTACAGAAGGGAAAGGCTACCCACTTCAGTATTCTGGTCTGGAGAATTCCATGGACTATACAGTCCATGGGGTCGCAAAGAGTCCGACATGACTGAGCGACTTTCACTTTCTTTCACTTTAATGTTTCTAAAACTAAAACCGTTTTAGTCTTACCAAAACACGTTCCTAAACTCACCTTGTCTGTCTGGATTATTTTAGCCTATTCTTTAATAATTTCCTGATTAGCTATATAACTATAACTATATGTAATACACTTAAGTTTTTCTGGATCTTCTTTCCCTTGGGAAGGTACAGAACAGGGTGTATAGTAGTGAAGTATTGGGCTACAGTATCTCCAAGCTAGGAAACTTTCTGATTCATTTCTGTCTCCCTTTAAAGTTATAAAGCATAAGATATTCCAGACCCATCACCATTAAATATTAATCATCTTAGTTATTTCTTAAACACACACCATTTCTTTTAATATCTCTTGATGTCCTAAAAATCTATAGTTTCACATCTGTAACTACAGTTAACAGCCTGGAATATAACTGTGAAACATTTAAACCTGAACATTCAAAAGGTTCAACTACTGGTGTACCTATCTACAAGCTTACCTATCCTTCAAGACCCAAGTTCCAGTTTTTCTACCTCATGAAACTTTACTCATTTACCATCATATGCCTGTGTGAAAAAAAAAAGTTCTCTAAGCTATTGAAGCAGTTACAGTTTTTAATAAATTTAACTTGATCATAAATTGTTTGTAGTTTTCTTTAACTGGTTGGTGTTAAAACATTGTATGTAGAATCCTTGAGGATAAAGAACTGGTTATTTACTTATATACTTTATCTAGAGCAATTACTCTAATGCTGCAGGCAAGACTGATGCTTAATAACTAACCTTTGTGATACCACTAAAAATCACATAAGTTAAAAAGGGCTTTAGGCAGACATAATCTCCATTCTGCACATAAGCCCAACAGATTCCAGGATATCCATGTAAAATAATGGATTAGCAGGGACTGGATTCTTATTCTCCTTCCTCATACATCACTCTGTTACCATTAGACTGACTCTAATTATACCCTGGTATCAACTAAGGCAAATTCAAGATTATATTCCAAAATTCTGTCTTGTTTCATTTCTAGGTTAGCTAGATCAAGAATATAGTATTAATGAATAAAATTCCATCTTACTTTTAAAAAATCTGGATGGCCCAAGCAATATGTTCAATTTTTCCTAGAAGCAAGTATCAAATGAAACTAAACTCTAGGACTTCCCTCTCTGAATCCATAAGTTTAAATCATTCCTGTCATAATATCTGAAGGCCTACCAAGTGAAAGAAAGTAACATTTCTTTCAGACAATGATTAAACAAAAAACTCCTACAATTTGTTTCTTAAATAATTAAAGATTATTATAGATTAATCAAACACTTTGGTGAGATTAATGGGTTTAACTTATTCATTTCATTTTCATATTTTATCCTTTAACATCCATTATCCCCAACAATGTATCAGTATTTGTTTCGGTGGACAATAAGAAAGTACCGCAAAGTGAGGAAGAAGATCTTCTCTATCACTCTCTGTAAATGCAGAAATCTCCAATGCCCTGGGACGGTGATCCACCACAGCATGACCAGGCACACCTCGACCTCGGCCTCGACCCCTGCCTCGGCCGTGAGCTGCACCTCGACCTCTTGAATGAACTCCTCTACCACGACCAGATGAAAGAATCCCTCGCTTTGCAGCCTAGAAGAGATTAGACAAACAGGTTAAACATCACCATTACGAACACAAGTCAAGTGTTATACTCAGATGAGTCACACAATCTGACATCAGTCATACAACTGAATATCATATTCAAAGAATGCCCTACAGAAGTATGTAATAATTCAAGCTAGAGTTTTAAAGTGAAAGCAAATTTAGCTAATGAATTTAGAAAACAAAATAACATTAATTTAAGCAATGTTCTGAAATTATTAAATACACCTTTTCTACTAAGTCCTTACTCTCCAAGACATCAAAATGTATCACAAAAAGGCCAACCATTCTTGAGTTTCAAATAATGCAGTTTTGAATACTACTTCAGAAGTTAGTTTAACATAGAGATACAAAATACCTATATATATAAAATAAGCACATTTTTCCGTTATGACTTTCAAATACAGTGTTTCTATTTGTTTGCCTGCTGACTTCAGTAGATATGGTTATTTCATATTCATTAGTTTGATCACTAACACCATTATACAACCAATGTAGTATAGTAGTTTATACCCCACTGTATCACTCTATATGACCACCACACCATTTCTACATTCCACAAATATTTCATGAGCTCCTCCTGTGGGCCAGTCTTTACCCTCAAGAAACTCAAATCCTAGAAGGGTAGAGAAATTAAACAGCTAAGTTATTCAATTATATTAATGAGAAGTGACTCCAAAAATGAGGAAATGCTCTACTTAAAGATATGAATAGACTATTAAAGATCTGCAATGAAACAGTGTGTGTGTGTGTGTGCACGCGCACATGCACGCTCATGCTCAGTCGTGTCTGACTCTTTGTTATCCCATGGACTGTAGTCCACCAGCCTCCACTGTCCATGGATTCCCAGGCAAGAATACTGGAGCAGGTTGCCATTTCCTACTCCAGGGGATCTTCCCAACCCACGACTGAGAACCCATGACTCTTTACCAGTAGCGCCACCTGGAAAGCCCAGTTTGCTACGAATAAACTACTAGAACAAAAGTTCCATGAGGAAGTTTTTCCTTATCCTATGCTCTACTTTATTCCCAGAAACTACAATAGCAGCTGGCAAACCACAGAAACTTAGTGTTTGTTCAACAAGTCAAAGAAGGCACAAGAATGAGCACAGCAAGCCAAGGATGAGGGGTGAGGGACGCTGCAGGAAAAAGGAGCCAGGTGGGAAGGACAAGGTACTTTTCAGAAGGAGTGAAGTCCAGTATGGCTGGACCACACAGGATGGAGAGATGAGGCTAGACAGGCAGAGTCAGATCACGAACAACTTAAGAACAAAGGTAAAGATTTTTATTTCATCCCGAGACACAAAAATCAATGAAAACATCTAAAGGTCAGAAGTAAAGTGATATAATCAAATTAGTGTTTTAAGATGTTATTCTGATAAAGAGAAAATGGGAAGAAAACCAGTCAGGCTACTACAATATCCCCAACAACTGAAGACAGAATCTTGGTCTACAGTGGTGGAAATGGAGGTAGAGAGAAGTAAAATAAACATATTTAAGATATATTGGAGAGTAATATGTATAACACTTGGTAATTAAATGTATATGAATACCAAAGAAAAGGAAGAAATCAATGAAGATTTCCAGATTTCTGGTTTGAGCAACTGTGTTGATGACTTTAGGGACAAAATAAGCACAATTTTGAAAATGTTGAGTCTGAGGATGTGAGACATCCAAGTGGAACTGTCAAGTTCCACCACTGTGTGTGTGTTTTGCCACCACTGCCAAAATCTCTGCAAGTATAAATATCTTATTCATATCAAGATAGTTAATTTTAATATTAGCTAAAGTAATCATCTAAAATCCAAATAAAAAACTTCAAAGGTCAAGAATTAAAGTTAATAATAGCACAGCACATACAAAAGCATCCTCTTGGGAACTTTAATGTCTCAAAATGCTCCTTAAAAAGGGGGTCCATGGACAAGTGAGTTTGAGCATTATTGAGTATTTAAATATGTACTTTGGGAGATACACACATTATAAGCCTCTAGAAAATGATAAACAAAAAACATGTTTATCATAATCTCGTTCAAACTTATTGGGTCTCAGTAGCTTTTATCACTAATACCTATTGACAAAATACGGCACTGGTGTGGTGAATGAATACACTCTGGCAAATACTGCATTACTGCACATATTAATATTAGTTGTAAACTAAAGTTCGGCCATTATAAATGAAAAACAGAAGATGTCATTCAGTGTTTAGCTATACTATGATAAAGAACAAAAACATGAACTAAGTATACAAAGAGTATTAGTAATAATGTTATTTATTAACTAAAATTATAGGCCAAAATTTTTTAAATGATAATTTTTTTTAAAGTCACACCAACACAAGCATGAAATCTCCAGAACGGTGAAAACACAATTTCTACATTAACATAAAAGACATCTATGTTTTTCAAAACTTGTTATCTTAGTCAGGACACACAGACAACCATATCAATTTTCCAGAGAAGTAAAATACATGCAGGTTTAGGACTCCAACCTATGGCTTCCTATGACAGACAATACAGGGTCTTGAGATAAGAACAGTGACTGCTGAATGTTAAACTCTTTAATACCCAGATACCAGTACTCAACGAGATTTGTACTATGCGGAAAGTGAAGAAGAACTAAAGAACCTCTTGATGAAAGTAAAAGAACAGAGTGAAAAAGCTGGCTTAAAGGTCAACATTCAGAAAACTAAGATCATGGCATCTGGTCCCATCACTTCATGGCAAATAGTTAGGGAAACAGTGGAAACAGTGGCTGATTTTATTTTGGGGAGCTCCAAAATCACTGCACATGGTGATTGCAGCCATGAAATTAAAAGACGCTTACTCCTTGGGAGGAAAGTTATGACCAACCTAGACAGCATATTAAAAAGCAGAGACATTACTTTGTCAACAAAGGTCCGTCTAGTCAAGCTATGGTTTTTCCAGTACTCATCTATGGATGTGAGAGTTGGACTATAAAGAAAGCTGAGCTCCGAAGAATTGATGCTTTTGAACTTTGGTGTTGGAGAAGACTCTTGACAGTCCCGTGAATTGCAAGGAGATCCAACCAGTCCACCCTAAAAGAGATCAGTCCTGGGTGTTGACTGGCAAGGACTGATGCTGAAGCTGAAATGCCAATACTTTGGCCACCTCATGCAAAGAGCTGACTCATTGGAGAAGACCCTGATGCTGGGAGGGATTGGGGGCAGGAGGAGAAGGGGATGACAGAGGATGACATGGTTGGATGGCATCACTGACTCAACGGACATGGGTTTGGGTGGACTCCGGGAGTTGGTGATGGGCAGGGAGGCCTGGCGTGCTGCAATTCATGGGGTTGCAAAGAGTCGGACACAACTGAGCAACTGAACTGAACTGAACTGATGTTGGAAGAAGAAAATCAAGTTGCTAGCAAATTTAGAAAAAAGCATTATTTTCAGACTAAGCAGAAACAATAAGCTAAGATACAAAAAATTTAATTGTGGCAACAATGATAAATACAGACAAGTACCAACTACACTAATGACATAAATGTCCCTTTACATCAAAATATAATTCTTATTTTTAAACACCTTTATGCTTTAGAAATTATCATGTATTAGAGATCAATTTTATTAGCTTTTTCTTATATAAATAATCATTATAACTATAAGAAACTAGTTTTTTCTCTTTTATAAATACCCACAGCACCATCTATAGGCAAAACTTAAGTAAGCATGTTCACTGATGTTAATTCTACCACAGAAACTCTGATCCTTATAGTAACTCAATGTAACATGTCTATATATGCACAGAACATCTCCATAAGAACACCTGAAAAGACTTTAATAGATTTTGGTTCCAAGAAAAAATCAGAAACAGAAAAGGAATAAAATATATTAGAAGTCAAGACACCAGCTGCCACCTCTCATTAAATACTTATAAGAGATTTTTCTATTAGTTCTAAAAAAATTTGCTAACCTCTTCCTTCTTTCTTATATCAACTTCCAATATGTTTTCCAGAGACTGCCAAAGACTGCTGACCAGAATGAGAATATATTTCCAAATAAACATTCAAGACCACAACTGCTCATCTTCAGTATACTGTGTGGTTATGATGAAACATACCTCCAGCTGTAATTCTGTGTACTTTCTCCTAAGTTCAGTGACTTCTTCTCCAGCTTGCATCTTCTTATATAAATCCAGTTCTGTGTCAAGCAACTCTTTCTGCATCTAGAAAACAGTGATTAGTAATTCAGGTGACAATAATATCCTGCATTTATATACATATACACACATACACACACATACTTTTTATAAGGAATGCTTTTTATGTATTCCTATTTAATCTATACATTTGTTCTCTATCTCCAGTCCTACCATCCTAATTCAAGCCATCAATCACCTCTGGTCTACACTAATGCAACAGGCTTCCTAACTTGTTCCTACTTACACTGATTTCCCTACAATTCATTTTCCATATGAAAGCCAGAGTGAGATTTCTATGGACTGACTCGGAAGAATTTTCAGGAAATAACTGTGAAAAGGAAAACAAAAACTAAGGTGCAAATGAGGACTACACAGTACCCTTTCGCGTAAGAAAGCATACATACACACACATACCAAGAGGGAGGGAAGAGTGCCAGGGATCAAACAGGAATGATCATCTATATAATCCTTTATTTATATTAATAGTATAACTTTTGAATCATGTTAAGTATTTATTTATTGAGAAAATAAAATTAGGGTAATTAAATTGAGAGAGTGAAACAGGAGAGAATTATATTAATGGAGCCTCCTTCATGGTTATTACTGAGCAATTGCTAAAGATTATCTGAAATAACTTCAAATCAATTAGGACTGTATAAACTTCGTATCGTCTGGAAATTAATTCTTCTATATTAAAGATATACTAAGATCCTCATATATTATGAAATAAAATACATTTTAACAATAAAGATACAAGAAAATTAAATCAACAAGAAAAAGGGGGAGGGGAATCCAAAATTGAATACATATAAAAATAGACTTAACTTTATCAAATTAATAACATAACCACACAAAAGGAATAAAACAAAAATGTGATCCTATACCACAGTTTGATCCTATACTCTTAATGGAGTATATTGTGAGGTTGTAAAGAATGCAAACAAATTCTGAATTTTATATTTAGTTAGCTGACGGAAATGGTATTGTTTTAGCAATTCTGGAACCATCTGAATGTGAAAGTGTATACTGTATTGATATTAGTGGGAACAAGTTGTCATTATGGGAACAGGCAAATAGGTATAAGAGAAAGAAACAAAGAACCCTGTGGTGTTAGATTAGAATCAGAAATATTAATATGAACTCATGATTACACACACACACACACCCCCCCCACCACAGTGTAAGTATTTGTAACTCCATGGGTTTTTTAAAAAATCACTTACTGTCATCTGAAATTAAATTGCTCAATTTCTTATGTCTAATCAGTTAATCTACTTGAATTTCCTCCCATTCAATCAGTTCATTCTGTACAGCGACTCAAATTGTTACTTCTGTTCATTAACATTTTATACCACCAACTACTTACAAAATAAAGCTTAAACTCCTGTCAAGCATTCAAGCACATATATTGTTTTGTCCTCAAGCTACTTTTTAAAGATTATCCATTACTATTCTCCTAATTATTGACTTTCTAGCTACAATGTACAGGATTCAAAAGATGAAATCAAGTTTGCTTATTTGTATTTATTAACTTATTAATTAATAGAGAAGGGGGAGAATGGTAGTATATGATCAAATTTTGAACAAAGAATGTTAACTAAAGAATGAATCTTAATGCAGTGTTTTAATTTTTTTTTGCACGCACATGCAGTATGAATAACAACACAAACTGAAATACCTGAGTCTTAGTTTTTATACTTTTTGGAAGACAGCGTCCAGGAGAAGCAGCTTTGACCTCATCTTTCAACTTCGTAATATTTTTAGTCAAAACCTCTAAAGTTTTCATTATTTCTGCTTTATCTTCAGACTTCATTGCTTTGTTTTTCTCCAGTTTTGAAATTAACATCTGGCCAATTTTTAAAAACAAAAATATAAGACACATTTCTGCTACTACTTAGAAAGCAAACATAGCACTGTAAATATAAAAATAAATAACTACTACTTATAGCTTATGTATTCATGACAAGGCTTACAATCACCAAGACAGCAGAACAGCAGATTGGTGACACTATCTCAATTCAAGTCTTAATCTTGGTTTGCACTGTGAAGAACTATAGTACTGCTTAAGTCTCTTAGATATAAATTTCTTATGGTTATAAGCTTTAAATTTAATTTAATCCCTGAAAAGTCATCAATTTGAAAGAGCAATAATTTTACTTTCTAATCCATCTGTTGATATTACTGATTTCTAAGTATTCACACTCCAAAAGCAGTCTGAAACCCAGAAAGGACCACAGGAAAAGTTTTACGGCTTCCTTTCATATGAGATATTAGAAAAGTGGAATATTTAATTACCTCCTTTCTTTTGTTAGGGGGAACAGTAACTGTCTAGGTTAAGAATAATACGCTGGGCGAAGATAAGAAGAAGATAAACACGGTAAGGAGTAGAAGACACCACACAATATAGATTCTATAGTATTACAGATTCTGAGTCAAGATGGTTTCAGTTTTTGGTGTAAAGCATTGTGATGTCTCTTTATCAAGTATATACAAATTTAAATCAGAAAAGAAATAATTTTAAGCCATATGTTCAAAAGGTTATGTATTTTTAAAATTTTTAAATGTTATAACTTTTATTACCAGACATAATTAAGAACTGACACCTAATTAAATGTCATATCTACAGCAAAACTGTGGCATCTTCTACTCCCTATTACCATGTTTATCTTCTTACTTGCTATGTCGGGCATATTGTTCTTAGCCGAGCCAGATACTTTTCCCTCTGACAAATCTAACTTTAATTCTTTTACCTTCTGTGTTTCAATGTGCTTTTCTAAAATTTCTTGTTTCCTTTTCCTTACATCTTGCTGAAGTTTCAGTGCCTCCTAGAGAAGGGATCAAAAATAGTATTAGAAAACTTACTTTTCAAAAAAAACTCCACCATTACTTCAGAAGACAGAACAGTGCTCTAAATGAGATTGTGGGGAGAAGCTTGGAAACAAAAATAAATGCAAAATTTTCCTATGTAAAGCTTAAACAGTATGCAAGTTTCAAAGATTAATCAGAAGAGCCTTTCATTAGAAGAAGAAAATTAATATTTACTAATATATTACGGAAAACAAAAGTTCAGTGGCCGCCAACATATATACCTTCATCTCTATTTTATGAAAAAACACATACATGCAGAAAAAGCTTCCCTATATGCAAATACTGTACACTACTAACTATACTTACCTGCTTTTTTTTCTGTGCTTCATTATTATCAACTGCAGAAGTGGAAACAAGTAACGTTTTTTGTGCAGCCTTCAAAGCAGCTGGATTATACACCGTTTTTGTTAGGCCAGTAGATGTAGACAACACCTACCAATACAAATTCAATTTCTCAAAAAATGTATCAAGTAGTCATGATCTCCTGAGTCCTATTTTCCTTCAAAACTCAACTTTAAAGCACTCCTGTCAAAATTTCGCACACTGAATTAAAAGTACTTATATAGTTACAGTAACTAAGTCACATTTAGCATCTTGAAAGGAAGGGTATGAGTGGGGGATACGCTACAAAATGAAAAAATTTTAAAGTAATATCATATACCTTTTGCTTTGAAAAAAGCAACAAACATATAAAAACTTCAATGGTGGTATTACTCTAACACTGATAATAAAGTATTAGTTGCTCAACACATTACTAGTATTCCTAGTGACTAAGGAAAAACTGTACACAAGAGCACAGCAGAGGAGGAATTATGTCCTGAAAATAATTTAAAATGATCATTTGTAATGGACATTTCTGACATTAACCTTATTGCTTTGTCTTCTCCATTTCTTTGCTAGCATTAGCATTACTCCTTTTACTTTATGGGACCTTATTCCCTTTAATTCAGCTCAGGTTTAGCACAACCATTCAAGATCTCTGCAAAGTCCTAATCACTTATTTCTTCTACCTAGGTTCCTCTGTGAAATAATATTCCTATTAAAATATTTAGTAAAAATGACCTGATGATACTTTAATTTATATTTCTCTCTCGATCTCTCTTCCCTGTCCTTACTGTAAGAGCCCTGAAACATAAACCATGTCTTTCTCTTCTTTGTGCTTCTTCCAGTATCTAAACCTTGCTACCAACTGGTGAGTTCAGGAACCTTGAAAGTTCAACCTGATGGTGTCTAATGTCCTCATAAACCCAAAGATTCATTCCATAAGGGTAAGGATTTTTTTTTTTTTAACATGGCTCACTGCTGTATCTTCAGTGCCTAGAACAGTGCCAGACACAAAGCAAGTACTTGATAAACACTTTTGCACTACATTAAAAAGAAGTGATGGTAGATCAGAATGAACAATCTTTTCCTCACAAAAGTCAATTCAAGAAAACTAAAGTGTACAGGCTGCCTTTTTTATCTTCCAAAAGAAACAGCAAATTGTAGGTTCCAGAGAGTAGTTGATCACTGGTTCTTGGGAAGGAGTTTAGAGATCCTTTCAAAGAGATCTATGAATGCCACAAAACCTAAACATGAAACCACGTGTGAGAGAGTGTAACTTTCCAGAGGAAAAAATACAGCTTCCAAACTCATGACCTAAAAGAAGTTAGAAGAATTATGTAAGTAGAAGAGATCAATGAGAAAAAGTCCTATTTTCTGACTACTAAAATGTAAATAATCAGGTATAACAGAAAAGTAGCAATCTTGACATGACTTTCTAATATTTTATCATGAAATTAGATTAGGGAACATCACAAAGCTTAAGCAACTCATCACTATTCTAAGTATTCAAGAATGTCACAGCTTCAAAATGAAAAAAAAAAAAAATCTAGAATATTGTAATTATACTACCTCCATACAGCACAACTGATGTTTAAAAATAAAGGATTTTTACAGTAGTTGATATGTTCAAAATTTGATAATTTTTCTTCAGCAATGAAAACACTCAAGGTATCACTAACAAATATGAAATGGCTGCATTCAGTAAAATATAAAATGGACATGGATCTAGTTCACAGTCTAACTTGTTACTATTCTATCATGCTACCTTACCACACTATGCAATGTCAAACTGTATGAAAATGTAAGGGTGAGACAAACACTGTATAAGGGGAGAAACACAAGATGATCTGCTGAAGCAAAAGTTGGAGTGTTTCATAAACCATCTTCATCATGATGGTTCTATAACAATTGAAAAGCTGTGACCCAAAAAGATTTCTATATTCAAATAAACTTGGAAACAATATTACTATTTTGTCCTTTCAAGGTATATTATCATAAGAGCTGTGAGAAAGCCAGAAGTAAAGAAATCCATATAATTTAACTCAGCATTTCTCCAATTTCAAGGGGTAGAGAATTCTTCCTTTCAAAGTATTGTTATTAATACCAGATATCAGACTAAGGTGTACTGTTTCAGGGTTGATAAAAGCATCCGACAACAAGATTTCTGTATTCCTGTATCACTTCCTTGTTTTGTCCAGAAACTTCCTTCTGTAAAAACAGAACATGAGCTAACATATTTCACCGAGTTTAAGACACCACTGACTAGGAGGTCATTTGATATAACCCTACTAAAGGAAAAGGCTGCCAATTATAACCATAAACATCAACAACTATAAGATACAGCCCAATTTCAGAGGTGCAAAAATGTGAAAATAAAATGTCTTACAAATGGTGAACTATATGATTACAAATGTTGCTCACTATCTGAAGCTATTTGGTTTCAGAGTTAAGATAGTAAGCGTTTGAAAAACAAAAAATACTTGCATTTTTCAAAAGATAAAGATAGACTCATGACAAAAGGAAATCTGTTAAAAATGAAACCAGTGGAGGGAAGTAACAAACCCAACAGAAAAGATGATGCTACAGTTCTAAGAATATAATCAAAACATAGTAGCCTTTCTAAACAACCACATCTCTATTTTCTAAAGGGTTTCTGCATATGCCATATTTTTACATATTGACTTTATTTCCAGTGACCTTACTGCATTCACTTATGAATTCAAGTTGTCTGTGAATCCTTTTGGATTTTCTACATATGTAATCACATCATCTATTAGTAAACATAGTTCTGTTTCTCCCTTTCCAACATTTATGCCATTTATTTTACTGCTTTATTATACTGGTTAGGCCCTACACTACAGGGAAAAAGTGACAGGAGTGGACATCCTTTATTCTTCCTGACTTTGGAGGAATGTATTCAGTATTTCATCATTAACAAATAATGTTGGCTGTAGGGTTTTTTTGTGTTTTTTTTTTTGCAGATATACTTTGTCAAAATTAAGGAAATTTCTATTACTAATTTCCAAAATGTGTAATGTGACTAACTAATTTTATCACATGTTTTTTTCCTACTGAAATAATCACATGGGATCCAATTCCCCTCCCTTCATTATCTACCCCATTCCTCCCCTCAATCTTTCATTTTATTAATATGGTGAAATAAACTGATTTTCAAATGCTAAATCAACCTTGCATTTCTGGAATAAATGCTACCTGGTCAAGATGCATTCTTTCTAATACCACTGCACATTTGCTAACATCGTATTTAGGACTTTTGTGTTTATGTTCATGAAATATTGGCTTGTAATTTTCCTTTCTTATAATACACTTGTCAGGTCTGTTTTAGCAAAGCTTTTGTTGAATTCTTAAGATGAGTTGAAAAGTATCATATCCTTTGTTATTGAAATATATACATCACTAATACCTCTTACTTTCAAGGTAAAAGCCAATTCTTCAATAAAATAGAGGTTATACTCTATTAACACCTTCTTATTCATTTCCTATATAAAATATTACAAGCCATGACTATTATTAGTACTTATAAAAAAAAAAGGAAAAAGATTTTTCTCATGGATAAAAATGGGGAAAAAAAGTATTTTGTAAAAATGATTTACTGCAAAAGAAGGTTATTACAAATTAAGTCATCCAAGTACCATTTTTTAATAACTGGTGCCAAGTTAAAATCAAACACAAAAGAAACATAGTTAAGATGACTCAAAGTCACACTCAATAAGCTAGTTCTCACATGTTTCTAAAGCAGATGCCAATTTTATTCTTCATAAATCTCTCTATAGTAAGCTGAGGCATTCAAGCATCATTTTATTGATCACGCTATTCAAATAATACCTACTTAACAGCTACTATAGTATCTTAATATTTACCAGCAAAAATCAGGTTTTAAGTTTCCTCTTTCTTAGCCCTCTTACATGAAACCTTAGAATAACAAAGAACCACTAAAGGGTTTATTGGCTATTTTAAGAGGTAGGGGATAAAATTTTATATTTGTGCACTTATTTGCCTTAACAATGACAGAAATTACTGTTTAGATACAAGGTTTGAGTTTTTGCCTGCTTTCAATTTTTAAAAAATTTAAATAACATTTGATGAACATTCTCCTACTCTTCCCTAAGACTTCTCTGCTATCACTAAGCTCTAAGGACTATTACACAAAATCCCTACTGACTAGGGAAAAGAAATAACCAAGAATAAGCAAAAACAAAATGCTATTCTGTAAACAGGTTCACTGAAGACTGGAAGTTACATAGTGGTAAATAATTGCTTTCCTTAGAAGATTCATTACAATCTTAACTGAGTAATTTTCTTGCATAAATAGCCCACTACCATTAGTGATTTTTCATAAATTAATGCTAACTATATTAGCAAATTTATACTATCAATTCCAAATCTGTACATCTTTTTTATCTAAAGCTATACAAACATGTTAAAAAAATAATGAGAACAAGTAGGAAAACATACTACAAAAGTTTTGTAAAAGTTGTAATTAGTACGCTTTAATTTCAGAGTGCAAATCTTAACACATCAGATCCCAAACATAATCAGGGTTGTAGACCTCTCCAGAATTGCTTAGTACTATACTAAGGGTAACGATCCTTATATTGTTGTGTTATTCCTTAGTTACTTATTATCAAAGAGGATAAAAATAATCAAAGTAAATATTCAGACACTGCTAAATTTAGTAGCATAGACTAAGCCACACAGAATCAGGCAGGGGCAGGGGGGCATATATGGAAAAATCTGGAGGTTTCACAGTAGAGGTTAGAGAGATTTTCAATTTTTAAAAGAATGACTAGAACTAGAATTCTGTTAGGCAGAGGGAAATACACTCCAGAAAAACCACCACCAAAAAGAAAAAAAAAAGAGGCAGGAAATAGCAAGAGACAATGAGCAGAAAAGGGCTTATTAGGGTAGAAAGGAAGACCTAAAGCAGAGGTGAAAGAACCAGAATAATTGAGGTATGATGAGTTATTAATCCAACAAAGTCATTTAGCTGAGAAAATTATAGAAAGTTATAGAAAATTATAGAAAGTTTCTATAAGGAGTTAAAGAGAGTCTAAGGGTAGGATGGTGGCAGTGTAATTAGAGGGGGTGCCAGCCCAGAGGTCAGGGAACTGAAGGTGGCAGAGACCTACAAACACAAGTGGATGACTCTAAAGCTTCTAGACTGCACAACATGAAAATGGTGCCATCACTTCCAGAGGTGGGTGGCTAGAGAAGATATTAATTTACAGAGGAAATAATGAATCATTTTAGGCATTTTATGCCTGAAGTAATGCTGAGGTACCCAAGAGGAAAATTTGATATTCAGAATGAGATTCATATTCAAATTTCTAGAACTGACAAATTTAACACAGTAAATATGGAAATAATATACTGAAGAACCAGTGAAGAGAGCAGGTCAGCTATTTCATGAGACATTCTAATTATCTATAATGTCAATTTCCTCTGTCATCTTCATAATGGAAAGAGCCAAAGGCTAGAAATAGAAGATCCAGATTCCAATCTTAGCTCAGTAACTCACAGTGTATAGCTCAACCATAAAGTTTGCAGGGCCTTACCTTCTTTTAAGGTGAGGATAAAGAAATAAGAAAGATTATCTAATTCTAATATTCTGTGATTTCACATACCTCAAAAAAAGACTAAAGATCAGGGCCACTCACTCACACCTAAACAAAAAAATAATTTATCTACACAGAACTATAAGACAGGTCCAAAAATGCTCTTAATTTAGTCAGCATTTGCTCCCCTCATTTGAGAAAAAAATGACTAACTGTATTGTCACGCTATACACAATAGCTGTTGTCATAAACAAACGTATTTATACCATTCTTTCCAATTTACAAAATACTCATATTTTATTTAATCTTCATAAAACCTCACAAGAAAGACAAATATAACCATCACCACTTATTGATGAGGAAAGGGGTTCAGAAAGATTAAGCGCACTGCCCAAAGACATGCAGTTAGTAAGTGAAGAGCCAGACTCAAACTCAGGTAAAGTTCCTAATTCATGGCCCTTTCTACAAGGTTACAGAGGTTTAAAATTAAAATGCACAATATCTCTAAAGAAAAAATAGTAAGTGAAAAAAACAAAAAGAATGGAGCATAAGGAAATACAGTGAGCGGCAAGTATTAAAATGCTGATGCAAAAAGTAAAAAGAGGTAGGCAAATATTTTTCTTTTTCAGCAAATGGAAAGCAAAAAGTTAGGAATAAAAGATACAGATACTATTAAGAAGCAAGAGTTTGTAACTATGAAAAAAATTAAAAAATTAAGATGCCACCTGAAAACATTTATGAAGCCAAGACACACACATCATGCTATTCTTCTTACCTTTTCAGTTGCTGAAACAGATGGCTTTGATACAAAACCCAACCTGTCCTTCACAGATAACTTAGTTACATTCTAAAAAAATTAAAATGGACATATTCAGTGTTTCCCCAAACATATATAAGTCTGTAGGGATTTTGAACATTCTCATTCTACTAACATATCCTGACTATAAGTACACTGATATTAATAACAAAAACTTGGGCCATTTGCAAAGACAGAGACAGAAAGAAAATGTGTTTAGAAAAATAAACAGTATATGGTATTACTCAATCATGGAAAATGATTATATAAAGAGGTTTTAAAATAATTTTAAAATTATTGTGCCTGTCACATAGGCAGGTGGTTTGCTAAAGTCCCCTTCACTGATACAGAATCATAAATTCTTAGAATCCTATATTGACAAGTAGAAAGTCTGTGCATTCTAAATATTAGAGTAGTTAAAAATGCGCCTGCTTCTTGAGCCTAAAACAAATGCCATTCTTTCCTATAGTATGTTTGTTTTATGGCCAGTATACACAGTATTCGGTGATGATTTGAGATAGCAGGATTGGAGGGTTGTTTGTTTGTTTTTTAGTACCTAATAATTTACTAATTTATATTCTGCGTGTTTTTATAAAATCTCAATGTCTTACTCTTCAGGAATAATTTGCGAAGACTATCTTAATAAGGTGGCATCCATTAGCTAAGTAGGATACTACATCCTAACTATCCTACACAGCAAATGTTGAAACATCTATAGACAAAAGAAAGTTGAGTTTCAGAGACTGAGGGTGTGGAAACCAGAAACTGCCACTCGAGTATGGAAGGGAGTGGGAAGGGAATGACATATGGAGAAGAGAACCTGAGAATCAGGAATAAGTGAAGCAAAGTTCTAAGAGAGCTGCATTAAGTAACTTGAAGCTTTAAGCCTTCCCTTCCCAAAAGCTTTCAGTTCAGTCTACTGCATAACTATGTCTGGAACAGGAGTCTAATGAAGTAAAAGATGACAGGAAAAATAAGATTTAATGTACTAAAACTTTACTTTTTAGGCAGTTTTGCTAGAAAGTGTCTCCTCTATGAAGTGAAAAAGAACTCTTTCTCATAAATAAGTATTAGCTAGAGAAAAGAATTTAAGATTCAAATACTACAGGAAAAGTAGTCTGTAAAATGTTATGGTAATGGTAAAAAAATTTTTTACAGGTGCTGTTCAAATACATACAGACTATATTTCTGTATAGGTGTATACACACACACACACACACACACACACACACATACATACACACATATACAATTAACTAAAATTCAGATAACCAAGGGAAACTAATAGGCTGAGAACCTATCATGTGACAGGCACAATAAGACTTTTCATTTACCTGAGGAAGGTCTGAACTGGCACTCTGGGCTTCTGCTGGTTCAATAGTACTTGAAGGTACTGGACCCAACCGCTCTTTGACTGACTGCTTCACAACAGGCAAGATGGGCTGCTGAACTAAAGGCTGCATCACCTCAGAACAAGAAGAAAATGTTAAACAAGCTGATTACTTCATGAGCAGGGAGAGTAACCTTCATTATTCTGTTAATAAGTTGCCCATGCACACAGTTTTAAAAGTGCAGCTTAGAATCAAAACCTAACCACCTGCCAAATTCCTTTCCTTCATACAAGTTCCCCATACATGTCTACAGATACAAAAAAATATTTATAAAATAGAGGAAAAAATAAAAACCTACCCTTTAGTATCTTTTGTCTCTCTTTAATTAACAGAAGAAAGCTAAATAGAAAAACAAGCTGCTATAGTACACTTCTACAAGCAATTAAACTTTATATATTGATTGACTTCCTGATTAAAAGAAAGAAAAAGAAAAAAAGGAAAAAGGAAGGATGGATTTCCAATATGAACTCATAATATGAGTTTCTAGAATACATACAGGTACTACATACTGGAGTATCTCCCACTTTAAGGGATGGTTCTATATTTTATATGTATCATCTTATGACTTTCTAAACTAGGGATGAATGTAATAACAAAATGAAAGAGCAGGTTAGAGAAATTAAGTAACTTGCTCAAGCCTACATACAGTTAACAATGGTAGAGCCAGGATGTGAACTCAAGTCTACCTGACTGCATGCCTCTGCTTTTAAAAAACACTATGCCAAATGCTTTTCTTTCATAAGAAAAGCATTTAATTTCACACAGACTTCTCTCTTACCTTTGGAGAAGTAGTTTGCAATTGCTGGGTGCTTCCTTCTCTGTGCCAGTAAACTTTAATAAATCGATTATTTAGCACTGCTTCTGTACTTGATATAGCTTTCTTTGCTTCTTCATATGTTGCAAATTGGATAAGGGCACCTTCAGGATCCCCATTATAGGCAACCTAAGATTTAAAATATTAAGCACAGCGAATTTGCAAATGAATCAGTTGCTTTATAAGGCAAAATGCCCCAGGAAATGAAATACTGGTCCTTCCAAGTTACAGTCTATCTTTACACTACCTTATATGGAGATTATTACCATAGTCTACTTTCACTCCAGAAGAAATGGTCCAACTGTGGACCACTCAGAGTAGAATCAGCTTCCTCTAAATAACATTTAAGAGAGAATGCTCATTGCACAAAGGTTATATACAAGCATTCAAAATGTTTCATTTCTTACCCCCAATATTAATGCTATAAGAAATAATCCTTATGTCAGTGAGTGATGTAGAGTCAAAAGAAGGCAGTAAACTATTCTGAAAGGAATGATCTCTAACTAAAAATTACAGAAAAATCCATCTAAAATTTTCCAAACTAGTTAATTCTCACAAAAATAATTCCAAAAGCACACACAAAAAAATCTTAGGTGGGGGAGAGGGGAAATCTACAAAACAATAGCAACGATCATATTTTACACATAAGAAAACTAAGACTCAAAAAGTATGCAATTCTTTAGACCCATACAATGAATAAGTAGTATTAACAGATCCAAGGCTGTTTAGTATTCAATAATACCAGCACTTTCAAAGTGTGTTCTATAAACTACTGGTGAGGCAAAGCAATACAAAATAGGAATTAAGCACACAGACCCTGAATCAAACAACCCGGTTCTGGATAACAATACTACCCATTCTGTATTTGTTAAGAATTAAAACAGTAATTCATATAAAATGGTGGGGCGGGGACTGTACACGGGGCGGGTGGTGGTGGGGTGTTCAATTAGGATAAAGCTATAGGGTTTTTTGAAACTAACTTTTCAAAAATAAATATTTTATAAATAATAAGGCAAATGGGATACAGATACAGCAAAAGGACCTGTATGGAGATAACAATCTCAATGGTAACTGAGGAAGTACAAATTGAAACAATATAAATTAAAGAAAAAAACTGAAGTAATAGTGAGATACTCAGCTTTAAATTTCTTTAAATTTAATATTGCTAATGTAGTTAACTGGGTAAGGAAAATAATTTTTCAAAGTCTATATCTACATGTGGTAGGTCAAATTGAACTGCCACAAAAAGATATTTAGAGATAGTCCAGGTTAACATTAAATTATTACAGGGCAATATGTATACTAGGAACCCACAACAAGGACCCACATACTTTTAAATACATATATATTTTTAAGCCTGAATAGTAATTTATTGGTAGATACATACAGAAACACAAAACACAAAATCCAAAATCCAAAATATTGGTAAGCTGTTACCAATAATGTAATAATATTATGCAGATGCATGAGGAAAAGAAGAGACAAAGAGCTGAAAATATTTTCTTTAAATCTGTAGAAATCTCTACTGACCCTAAGCAAGCATGCATTTTCTCATCTATTACTTAATAATATTACTTTTTAAAGGGCAACACCACAGAATTTTCCAAAATACCAACTTAAGCTGTACTCGCTAACATCTATTCTTATCAGATTATGGGAAATAATTATTTTAGTTGAAAAGAATGCCATACAAACTGGAAAAGAAGCCCAACATTATTTCAACACTTTCAGCATATCACATAATATAAACTCAATACAAAATAATCTCACAAATAACATATACCTAAGCCAAGGTCTAATTTTAGGTGAAATCAAATACAAATTACAGATATTTATCTTAAAAGACATTCAAAAGCAGTAAGGAAAAAATAAATGTTTAAACTAATTAGGTATTTGGGCCCGCAAACTTATCTGTTAGATATATCCCACCTTAGAGGCAGCAAAAATAAATGTGACTAAAGCATTCTGCTAAAGTGAAACTAAGGAAATGAAAACTATAGTAAGATTAGACTTTACCACTGTGGCTATTTAACTTTACTGTAATTTTACAATAACCTCTATTAGGTAAAAAGTATATAATATGATCAATCAAGCCTCTTGCCTTTTCAAAGTAAATATGTTATTCTAAATCACATTTTTCTAAAATACAACATTTCATTTCATATCCAATTTTCTAAATTTAGAATATTACCAAAATTTCCATAATATTTTCTTGTAAAAGTATTTCTTTTTACTATATTAAAATTTCCTCTCTAAATCAAGCAAAGACAACAGAATCACTTCATAGCTCTTACCTGCAAGTTAACCAAGGTTCCAAATCGACTAAAATGCTCATTAAGTTTGCTGATATTATTTAATTCTGGAGGAACTTTCCTAAGTTCAAGTTTCGTATTTTCATTTCCAAACTGAACCTTTTTCTGGAAGCCTGGGCTGTTTGTTCTATTAAAATTTGGTCTGTAACAAAAATCAAGTTAATTAATACATTCATTTATAAATCCTGATCCTTATCAAGTACAAATGAATAAAGTTTTGCAACTTAAGTTCAATTTTCTTTTCAAAATTGAAATTGCTAGTTGATAAAGGAAATTTATATATACTTTTTTCCTTAAAAAATGAAGTTTCCAAATAAGTAGTGTTCATATCTTTCACAGAAGCCAAGTGAGAAGGGTTCTTCCAGATCATTTGTCCCTCCCCACTTCTATTCTACACCTGCTTAAAATTTTCAGCAGGTAAGGTCTACCCTGTTTCAGTCAATTTGCCTATATAACCACTTCACCATTTGCACCATTTCAGCAAAAGCTAGCTTACTGAAATAATCCCTATTTTTAAATACTGATTAAAAGTAAGAAATCACTATCTCGACCTCTTTACAATTAAAACAAAATGTGGGGAACAACAGACCATACGCTTGACACTTGAAGAAATGGGGGCAAAACTGTGGCTCAGGGAGGTTATAATTCTTGCCTTAAATCAGAGAATTAAAGGCAAAGCCAGAACTATATATTACCCATTAATAAACATACGTTAAAGCTCTAAAAGTGTAATCCTAGTCTTTCCTCAAACATGCTAAACTGTAAATGAATCATCAAACACATACACTAACATTCTGATTCTTTACCTGCTTCTCTGAAGCCCTTCCTCAACAACTTCAGTGCCCATCCTATCTCCCCTGCCCCCACCAAAGACTGCTTTCTAACTCTTAATAGGAATCGCCCACATGTTAAAGCCTCCTCCCATTTCTTACCTAATAGCAGGCTCATGACTATACCTTAAATAGCTAGTATTCAACATCTCTAAGTTAAGGGTTGGGTTTTCGCGGGTAGGTAGGTACAAACAGGAAAAACAATGGGCTAACCACCAGACCATTTCTATAAGCAAGTACCTTCCAAGTACCAGAAGACTAACATACACACTTTTAGAAAACAGATACTATATACTTTAGTTGGGGACTCCCTACAGAATAAATTTTACTTTGAAAGAGACCACTATTACTGCCACAATAATACTGCAATGATTCTAAAAATCACTGCACAATAAAATTCCTCAATTTCCCTTGCCAGCTTACTTATCAAACCAAGTCTTCTTTGTAGGAACTCCAGGCTCCCCAGAACCAATGGTTCTTTTCCTTGACTCTGAATCCACTACTATCCTCATACTGCTTTTATTAGGAGGCTTTTCTGTTTGAAACAAAAGAAAAGAAAGCAAAGATTAATATTTTCTGTTAATCATAGCCACATTCTTAAATTTACATTAAAAACAAAGCTCTGGCTTTTCGTCCAAATATACATTTTAGAAGAAACAGAAAAAAATGTACATCTAAATACAGTAATCTAAGGGATTTTAATTTATTTTGAATTCCTTTCACACTTAAATGAAGAAGAATCAGTAATTCTCATATGTCAAATTAATAATAAACAAATCATCTTGGGACTCTAAGTTTATAGTTTTGAAATCAAATGCACAACCAATAAGATTCAAAATTTAACACTAGTGCAATGACCTTAAGAATCAACAACTTTGAATTGCGACTGAAATGAGCTGCTTATTTAAACATCAGCAAATTAGCATAACAAAATTATGTTAAATTTTAAAAGGTAAAGATTCAAAAGATTGAAATGCATTGCAAAAGAACCGTAAACATCTACTTTCAATATTTTACACACTTTTAAGAGTTTGACAAACACAACTGCATTTAACCTGTTATTCCCAAATGATGCCAAAGTTCAAAACATGCTAACCTTAGTCCACATAGAAAAAAAAAATGTATATTTAAAATTCCTTTTTAAAAAGGAACTGGATAAATTGGTTATTTAAATCCTTTTCTGAGTATCTCTAAACACATGTAACCAAAAGAATTCTGGATCTGTTTCAGCATAGTCTTTCTCACGGCTACCACTATAATCCCCAAGCAGGTCTTCCTACCAAATCGATTCTTCCTCTCAATGAATAAAAGTATCATCTGCCCAATTATCCAAAAGCAGAAACCTGGTGTCTCATTTTACTCTCTCCATTAGCCCCATTCTAAGTCCCCAAATCAATAAGTTATAGGTGTTGTCAATTCTCTCCACTGAACTTAAATCTTTTACTTCCCAGCGTTACTACCCTAGTCTAGCTACCATCATCTCTTCCACAATTTTTCAGACGCCTGTAATTGACCTCCTATTCCCTCCGACATTCCTTACTCCCTCTGTTCTAATCAAAAAGATCTTCTGGAAGTTTCACAAAAGTATCAACAGGCTATATGTGCTTTATCAACCCCCTTTTTCTGACTAACTCTGACTTATCCTATATCTCTTCAGCGTATCAGGTAGAAACATCCAGCATCTGATATTGCAGGCATTCACAGGACAAACTGTATTTTCTTTGCCCAGTGGTATCTTCAGAAGGACCAGTTTTGCAACAGAATTTCTGGCCTTATTATTGCCTCTCAAACATGTTCGTTCACTAGCCCTTTTATAAAGTCTTTAAGTAGCTTAAACATGTTCTTTATCTGAAGGTTCATTAAGAAAGACAGTGATGTGTTTGCTTCAACTCATCTGTATTCTCTCACTCATATTCTCTTTCTTTATTAGCTATTTAAACACACAGAAGCAAGTTCCTCTTGATATACAATTAGCAAATGTGTCTTTTAGTTCCATGTATTCTGTTTTCCCCCAATATCTTTTTAATAAATTGTTTTTCTGCTTAAAATTTTCAGCACTAGTTTTGTTGATGAAAACTACTGAGCCCATCTTCCTACCTATCTATATCCAATCAAGAGTGTCTAGCAAGTTTTCCACTGCCTTAGAATCTAGAACGAACAATTATCAGGTCTCAAGGTCACCTTTTTTAGTAATTCTAAGGCAGCAAAAGGCCTAAAGTTTTGTCATTTGCTTAAAAACAATAATTTCCTATGAAGCTTTAAGTACAAAGCATAAAAATAGTTTGCACACAATAGTCTGTGACAAATTTAAATGAGGCCATCTGCAGGCTATTATAAATGTATAATAATTATGTAATGAACAATATTATAAACTTTTAATTATGTATAGCTCACAATCCAGGCCAGTAAATTTCAAACTAAATAGGCAATAGCTGAGAACATTTTGGGGGGGAAAAAGACTGAAAAAGATAAGGAAATAGAAGTATAGGTAACCCTCAGTTTAAATGGTTTGCTAAATAAGGTGTCTGGTACATAAAAACAATTTATGGAGAATATATTCCTGAACCAGCTTACAAAAACAGTACACAAAATATCTGAAGAATAGTACTAAAATAATCACTATGTATAATAATTCTATGAGAAAAGGCATTCAAATTTCTAAGTAGGCATACCAGACATTTATATCTCAGCGAGCCATTTCCTGAAACTTCTAACTATAGGCATGTGGAGCTGAAATTACCATAATTCCTACTTCTACATGGTTAAGATTTATGTGCAAGGGATTTGATCCTTCTGTCTTCCCTCAATCACCACCAACAATAAAAAAAAAACTGACCAAGATTTGGGATGGGTCCAATGTTGATCTATAGTGGAAAGCTGCAACGTAAGAAAGAGACGATTTGAAGCTTCAGAGGTTCTAGTGAGAGGAAAGAATACTGGTATAGTGAAAGAAAAGAGTGCTAAGTCACGGCCCAAAGAAGGAAGTGGCTCTTCTCCGAACTAGGCAGGTAGGAGCCACTCGGGACGAGCCAACATGAACACAAAGGACAGCCGCGATCTTAACTGGCTACTTTTCAACTACGAGCCAGCTTAGAGCTCTTACGTGAAAACTGTTAAGAAATCGCTTTTTCTGTTGTTGTTCTTAACGAAAGTCACTAGAATGCCTCTAGGAGACTTTTTGTTGGGGAAAACGGGTATTTACATGAAATGTTGTCTTGTAACCTAACAGGATATAAATATAAATTAAAATGTTCCGCACTCCATCACAAAAAGTTCTCTGAACACTCAAGACATATGTTCAGAATCTGACAGTTTCTGATGAACAAATAAAAAAGTGCAAAGCATAAGTAAACAAGTTTACTAAACCACATTAGGTATGGACTGCTACTTAGTTAAAAAAGTTGGATTTTATTCACAACTGATAATGCATGACTTTTTTTTATTAGAAATAACAGATGGCAAGGAAAGACTAAAAAGAAAATGGGATTTAAAGCTTAGTTGAAGTAGTTAGGAAAAAAGATACATTTTTATTGGTCTATACAGTATTTCCTGTAATGTCTGACAATACTGTCAAATATCTATAGCAAATACTCTGTCTTTCAAATTAAGGTGAATGCTTCCTCCTCTGAACATTTATAGCACTTCTCTTGCACTGGCTTGTGGACCAATCTAAATTCTTCTCCCATTCAGAAATTATATCAAAAAGTCTGTCTCCTCTAACAAAAATTTTAAAAGCTATCAAGTCAGTCTAAAATATAATTTTTCACTTAAAATATTATAAGCCAATCAACATCAAATTCTAACATGTCAAAGCAAACAAAAATAAAATATATATCAAATATTAAGTGTGCACAGCTCATTTCATTTTCTAAACTATGAAAGAATGTATCTTTATGAATTAAAGCATTATTCTTAAGACTTTAAATGAACCAATTAAGACTGCAAAGGAAAGAATATACCTCCCAAAAGCTAGAAAATTATTTCTTTGGGGAAATTCCTTTCCCCATGGATGACAGAATAAAACGTCACCAATACTACAAATAGGGCATCACATATTACCTCTTCTCTCATGTTGAGACCAAAGAATCCAAAGAACAAACATAACAACATCCCTTACTCAATCCCAAAAACACAAAACCAACTGTTCTTTTTAAATGTTTTGCCACTCTTGATATTATGAAAATGATAGTAAGAAGAGATTCATCACAGTACCTCTGGGTGGCAAATCCATATCCCCTGATGTGAGCCCTATCAAGTTGGGCCTTTGTGCATGCACTCTGTGTCTATACATTGGTCTGGAAGTGTTTGTTATGCTTGGGGCTTCAGGATTGTAGCCGTCTGTGTCATATGTATCTGGTAATACAAAAACTGTAATTAAAAAACAATTATAAAAGTCCACTTGGTAATTTTTTATACTGATAATAGAAAAACATACTACTAATTCATAACTCACATTTTATATGTATTTTAAAAAGAAGTTTTAGAAAAATAAAATGCTGTTAAAAACTTCGTTTTTTAAAAATCGTAACTGAGGGCTTATATTTAATGCACATTCATCATGTCTATATTTTATTCCATAAAATTTTAGTGAGAATAGACCTGATAGAGCAATTCACTCTCTACATATTTTTAAATCCCTCACCTAGAACTCTTCTCTAAACTATATATGACATTATTAATATAGAAAGCCTAAAACTGCACCTGCAGTGAAAAGAGAGGGAGGAGCAGGAGGCGGCTGGTGATGAATGCCAGTTGTTACCACAGTAGGAACAGAGCTGGTTGCAGAGTTTGGGGGTGCATCCATGCCAGACGGTTGCAAAGGAGGAAGTGGAGGTGGTGGTCCTGTCAAAACCAAAGAATAAGAAATATCATCTGGAAGCAAACAAATAAAATAAGTTATTGTATATCCAAACATGATATGCTCATTTATCAAATAATAGTATCTATAAAAATCAAGCTCTTACAAATGAAATAGTTTTCAAGGATAAAATATCCATTTAACGTATTCCAAAACAGGTTTGTCTTAAGCTCCCTTACAGACAGCTGGGATTCATTAGGTATATACATAATTCAGGGTCACCCTAAACCACAGTAAACCATGGGTTTGGCTGTGCCATGCCATGGTAAGTCACTTCAGTCTGTCTGACTCTTTGTGACCCTATGAACTGTAGTCTGCCAGGCTCCTCTGTCCATGGGACTCTCCAGGCAATAAAACTAGAGTGGGTTACCATGACCTCCTCCAAGGGATCTTCCCAACCCAGGGATCGAACCCGCATCTCTTATGTCTCCTGCATTGGCAGGCGACACCTGGAAGCCCACTGGCCTACAAAATATATTCCAAATGGGAGTATCTTACTCTTAATTTCTAGCAGGCATATATAGGATTACTATAGATACTTCTAACAAAGGCAAGCATCAAACTATTAACTTTTATAAAAAGACTATAAATGGGTAGATAGTAAGTATAGGCAAACACATTTACTTACCTGTGACAGGTGGTAGACTGGGTGGTAATGGGCCTGGCGGTGGCACAGGGGGTCTCAGATTCACAGGTGGGGGTGTAAGAATTGGTGGTGGTGGAGGGAGTCCAGGAGGAGGTGGTCCTTCAACAACAGGAGGCTGTGCTGGGAAAGGCAGCATACCAGGAAGATTGACATCTTCTACAACTACTGGGTCACTTCCATGATCAAAAGGGCACATGTCTCCTCTCATACAGAAACCCTTTTCTGTGAGGAAAAATAGTTTAAAAGAAATATGAAAAGTGCTGGACATTTTCTCTAAGTCAACAAAATAAGATATTGAAAAATTGGAATATTTTTAATATTGGGCCTGTATAAATAACCATATCATAAGAACTACCTACTAATTCCCAGTAATATAAAACCCTCATTACGTGATAATATAGCTAACATACACATTAAAAAATGTATCACCAAATTAACATGAGTATTCCTGGCTAGCAAAATGATGTAAAATAGGCATTTCTGTCTTATTTTTACCATTAGAAACATTTCCTTTACTTAAATCTCTCACTTAAAACGTTAAGGATACTGCAACTCCAGTTTTAATACAATTTACAAAATTTTTACAGTAAAATCTTAAAAGAGTCTTCAGTTCATTTATAGAAGTCTTACATAGGTGATACATTTCTAGATTTTACTTACATGCTAATAACCCTGATTTTTAAGTAAGTTTTATCAAGAACGTATCAGTCGTCAATTTTCTGATAAATAACTCAGTAGATATTCCTCTGGTAAATTCCAAAAATATGTTAAGACTTCAGTGCAAATAAACATTATTTTTAAATTGATATTAGTCAGTGGTGACTAACAAAGACTTCAGTAACAGACTGAGGAATTCATGAAGTACCTAAAATTAACTTCCCACCATTTCCAAAAGGTTAAGTATTTGAGTAACTGTGTATAGCCTAAAATTACAGAATTTACTCAGCTGAAAATATTAATTCATACTTCATGAAGTGGTTAACAGGCTTACCATCATAGTCTCTACACCGTTTCTTTGGCATTGGTGGTCTTACGTATGAATTATGGTCCACCTGGTCCTCATGAAATTCAGACCAACTTTCGGTAGTGTTATTACCATGATGAGTAGGAGCAATTACTGTAATAGTGCTGCTCAAAGTAGGTACAGGGTAGTGGCCAGATGAAATATTAGGTACCGAAGAGACTGGAGTATAATTGTTTTCTAATGGATCTGCTCTATCCAGGTCATATTTAGGTTTTACCAGATCCCTTTCTGCAACAAAATATAAATGACTTGAAAAACTACACTCGATTAAAAACAACAATAAAGTCCCAAATTTAATAGATATTTTTGCTAAACATAAAAATAAAGTTCAAATTTTACACAATCCTCCTTTTAAAAACTACTCAATATATAAACAATGTTTCAAGATAAGTTATTTCTTTTTGTTATGATCTAAACTAAAAAGCCACACATAAAGTTGCTGTACTTAATGAGATTTTTCTTGGGAGTTTTATTTATAGAAAAGAGATTTTTTATTTTCTTCATTGAAATTTTAGTATGCAAAACTTTAGCCAATAAAACAAAATATGCAATAAAAGTAGTTATTTTTTTTGTGATGAACATTTAGTTGTTATCAATTTACAGGTCCTAACATGGCAGTGAACACTGCTGAAGATGAGAATGGATACTTAAAGAGGAAGGAAAAGGAGCTCATAATAAATAAAAACAAATTAACTGGGCCAAGAAAAGAAAATTAACCATGGAAAGAGAAAAGATATTAAGGAGATTAGTTAAGTGAAGTAATGTGTAGAAAGGCCTAGAACACCTATATGACAGGAAAAAAACTCTTAAGAACAGAGTAACAGAAACACTGGGATTATAAAAAAAAAGTCATGATTTTTTAGAGACTAAAAGTAACTATACAGTAAAGGTCACAAGGGGAGTAAAAATCTAAGCTTGAGTAAAGGTGTTTTACTCTAAGGTGTTAAGCTGTTTTATTGCCTGCAACATATTCCTTTCAGAAATACACACTGAAAGAAAAATTATATATGTTGAAAATGACACACTCTTATAAACGCACACATCTGAAATGAAATTTTTAACTGTTTTCATAGTTTTGAGTAGACGTCTAAGTGATAAACTGAAGATACTTAAAAGATACAACTTAATGAATTTTGATCTATGCATATACCTATGAAACCAAACATGACAATCACAGTAAGGTATACACTGTACATACGCATCGCCCCCCAAAGGCATCCTTTCTCCTTAATGATCCAGCCCTCCTTTACTTCATTCGGGGCAACCACTCAATTGTTTCCTGTCATCATAGATCAGTGTGCATTTTCTAAAATTCTCTCTCTCCCTCTCTCATATACACACACTGTTTTCTGTGTGGCTTCTTTCAATCAGCATGATTGAGATTCATTTATTTTGTTGCATGTATCAATAGTTTTTTTTCCTTTTTATCCATTCTATGGCTATACCACAATTTGTTTATCCATTCACTGGTTGATGGACTGTTTCCAGCTTTTGGCTATAACAAATGAAGCTGCATGCTCATCTGTATATCTCTCTGTGGAAATACACTTTCATTTCTCTGAAGTAAACACTCAGCAGTGGAACGGGTCATTGGTAGATACAGGATTAACATTTTTAAGGCACTGTTGAAGTATTTTCCAAAGGGTTCCAGCTTATTCCCCATCCTCAACAATTCTGAGTAAAGCTAGTCATTTTCATTTCAATCATTCTGATGGGTATGCAGTAGTACATTGTTGTTGTAATTTGCATAAAGTAAAAGTCTCAAAAGAAATTTTTTAATAGTTACTCATACATATAAAATACAGCAAGATAGAAAAAATAAAGATAATACTGACAAAACAATTTTTAAAACCTTCATATACAAAATTGTTTTCACAGTAAAAGTGCCAGGCAAAATATGCCCATATGTGATTATTTACCCCTGCTTCGTGTCCTGCTTCTGCTTCTAGTCCTGCTTCTATCCCTATCTCTGTCACGAAGCCTCTCTTTACTCCAACTTCGACTCCGACTCCTGCTGTAACTGCGACTTCGTCCTCGTCTTCTGTTGTACCGGTCTCTGTATGAATCTCTTCGAGGGGGGTTTCGATCATAATCTCTTTTGCGAGAACGATCATCTTTTTTCCTCTCATCACGACTTCTAAAGAAATATATGAACTTTTTTATTGAAAATATTCAAGTGGATACAGGAAAAACTCTAACCAAATGGAAAAGTTCTGTTTTATTCTTGTAACATTATGATTCTTTATCCCATCTTACAAATACAAACATAGGAGACTCAGAAAACTGAAAAACTTAACATGATCTGCTTAAGCACTCTGAAAGCCCTTCACAGTACCCACCCCCGCCCCCAAAAATCCCCCAACTCTTTCAAAGCCTTACTCATATACACACAGGCATCTATACATAAGTCCTATTGTATATTCTGTCTTGCACAGTCTCATAATTATAGGCAAGTATCACATGCACTGCACTCTCAATGCTTTTGAAGGTTTAATGGGAAAAATAATTTATTCACTCTAAAGGGAAGCTTTGGGTAAAAAAGGTCTCAGAGTAAGACTTCACTGGAATTGAAGTTAGGAATAAAAATAGTAACAATAACTAACATATGCCAAGCACTGTTCTAAATCTCACTTCTAGTACCTTCAAATCTCTTGTAGTTATTCTTGATAGAAAAGGATCGAGTTACTACTTTCCTAGACTAATAAAAGAGTAGATAATACTTGCCCCTATGTAAAGGAATATCAAGTCTATAAATATTCATATAAAGATAAGCAATGTCTAAAAATTAAACATGGTCCAAATCAATCACCTATTTTCTCTGTATCGGGAGCTTGACTGAGGAGGACTGTGATTTAGCCTTCTAGAAAACTTCTTCTCTCGCTCTTCCTCCTTTGTGATCTGATATACAAGAAAAACATGTATAAGTTAAATAAGTTATTCCTTGCCATGTTACTGCTTCAATAACTTAGCTGGTATTAAAATATATGCGAAAGACAGAAGGCCAAAGGAGAAGTGGGTGGCAGTGGATGAGATGGTTGGATAGCATCTCTGACTCAATGGACATGAATTTGAGCAAACCCGAGGAGATAGTAAAGGACAGAGAAGCCTGCTGTGCTGCAGTCCATGGGGTCACAAAGAGTAAGACATGACTTAGCGACTGAACAACAACAAAATACAAGAGCAATATAGTCTTCTTCTGAAAGCACTCAAACAAAATAAATTTCTCTTCTAAGTACATTTAACAATAAAAGACAGGCTTGCTCAAAGTTAAAGTGAATGGTAAAGAAATTCATAAATGTTTATCTTAGTTAACAGTAGTGACAAAAACATTTTAAGCAAGTGTCCTCACTTTACAGGCTTCCCAGGTGGCACTAGTGGTAAAGAATCCACCTACCAATCCAGGAGACAAAAGAGATGCGGGTTTGATCCCTGAGCCGGGAAGACCTCCTGGAGAAGGGCGTGGCAACCCACTCCAGTATTCTTGCCTGGAGAATCCCATGGACAGAGGAGCCTGGCAGACTAAGGTCTACAGGGTCACAAAGTGTCAGACACGACTGAAGCGACTAAGCATGCACACACGTCCTAATTTTAACATAATTACTGGAAAGCCAATTTTATTCCTTCTCATGAATTTGGTCTGGCACCAACACATCAGGGGTTTTAAAGGAGAATGCAATAGAATTAACCAAGTCACAGAAAAAGAAAATGCTTGAGAAAATAATACATGTGAAAATAAACAAGTGAAAATAGTTCTCTAGTTTCTCATAGCAGTATGACAGCTGTATAGTCCTCTTCCTATAATCCATATTATACAATTAATAGAAAGCAGTCCTTAAACACATTCCCATGATCAGTGCTGCTTTCCCTAAACCAGTTTTCCATGCTGCCCAAAAAACGGGTTCCACAGGACATTAAGAGGTATTAGAGAAAAAAGCATTTATTTAGAGGATAAGCAAACTGAGAAAATATTAAACATGAGCATCTATAAATATGATAAGGCTCAAGATTTTTAATAAAAACCCTAAGATATTCTGATGCAGATAAGTCTACAAGACAGCATAAAAACAAATAAATAAATGAAATAGCATAAACATGTCCAGGTTTATGCCAGTTGTTTCGGCAACCCTTTGGGTAAAAGCCTCTCACTGTCAAGTGCCCCTGAATGAGAAAGTAAATGGAAATCCTATCAACAGACCAAACTCTGAGAAACAATGCTTAAAAGTCTTCTTTTAACAATTTGCTTTTTTTTTCTTTCTTTTAAGTACTTTGTTCAACTCTTCCTACCCATTTCCACCCTCCACTTGGAAAACAAAACAAACCAAAACCTCCTGTTGCACTTTTTCCCTTCTATTTGCTTCCGTGCACTCTTGTAAGTAATCTATGTTGACAGATTGTCATATTCCATGGTACATGCCCAACTGGGAACTTTTAAAACACCCACAGCATTTAAAACACAGACTGCCATCTGACATTTCAGTTCTGAAAGATGAGGGATAAATATCCTTCACAACTGGTCAAAACAACTGTGGTGAAATATTGTAACAACAGATGTAAGACTAAAGTTTCAACATTAATTCATCAATGGGTAAAATTTAAATGAATTATTGTATATCTCTAAGTTGCATAAAGAGTTGCCAAGACAATACCCAATATCCCATTCTTCCTCACTAACGTTCTAGAACCCCTGTACTATGAGGTACAAAGCATGAAGTTATAAGAATTCCGGGTCTTCCCCAGCAGATAAAGTAATGAGGGTGTACTATGTATGTGTGTGAGAAACTGACATGTACATGTGTATAAATGCTTTCAGACACAGACATAAAGATACATTTGAGAGTTATTACCTAATACACAGCAAATGTACTACTACATAATAAACATATATTACTTATATAATCTGGAAAAAAAAAAGAGTATCAAGTGAAAGAACTAAAGGTCACAATTAAACCACATCACCCACCACTTAACAATCCCTCAACAATAATTGCAACTATCATTTACTGAGAACCTAGTATGAGCCACATACTCTGCCAAGTGTTCACAGACCTTATTTTACTATTCCTCACAATAACCCTATAATATTTCCATTTCACAGCTGAGTAAGGGTTGGAAAAGTAGTAATTTCAAGGTCACAAAACAGTGGCCAGGAAAGGCAAAAATTTAACCAAGATTTGTTTGACCTAAAACTAGACTAATCATGGACATATTATATTATAGCCTGTCAACAATTATTTTTAAAATTACAATCTTTAACATCAAACTAAGGAAATCTGAATTAGTATATGATTACTAGACAAGAGTGGTAAACTTGTACAAAAGGTAAAAACTTCAAAAACTCTTAAAGCATAAGTCATTTCTATTGCCTTGTGAAGGCCCTTTTATTTGACTACCTTAAAAATAGTCCCTTGCAAAATGCATGTAAGGCAGAAACAAGCAGATCTACTGACAATCTGGTTATATTCCTAGAACACAGATAACAGGAGCCCATACCTGTAAGATACTATGCACAAAAGAGTTCAAAGCACACCTGCGACTGTTATCTTTAAAGGGCTGCTGGAGACTTCCCTAATGGTGCAGTGGATAAGAATTCACCTGCTAGTGCAGGGAATATGCGTTTGATTCCTGGTCCAGGAAGATTCCACACGCTGCAAAGCAGCTAAGGCCATGCGCCACAACTACTGAGCTTGAGCTCTAGAGCCCACGAGTGACAATGACTGAGCCTGTGTGCCACAACTACTGAAGGCCACATGCTCAGGGCCAGTGCTCTGCAACAAGAGAAGCCACCAGAATGAGAAGCCTGGAACCACAACCAAGAGTAGCCTGTGCTTGCCGCAACTAAAGAAAGCCCATGTAAAGCGACAGAACACCCAGTGCAGCCAAAGAAATAAACAGACAGGGCTGCTAACAAGGGAAGCCCTCGGTTGACATCTCCAAACTATGATTTCTGGAAGGTTCCCATCATTCCGTAATAATAATAGTTCACCATGCCTGAACTGCAGATGGTGACTGCAGCCATGAAATTAAAAGATGCTTGCTCCTTGGAAGAAAAGTTATGACCAACCTAGACAGCATATTAAAAAGCAGAGACATTACTTTGCCAACAAAGGTCCGTCTAGTCAAAGCTATGGTCTTTCCAGTTGTCATGTATGGATATGAGAGTTGGACTATAAAGAAAACTGAGCACCAAAGAACTGATGCTTTTGAACTGTGGTGTTGGAGAAGACTCTTGAGAGTCCCTTGGACTGCAAGAAGATCCAACCAGTCCATCCTAAAGGAAATCAGTCCTGAATACTCGTTGGAAGGACTGATATTGAAGCTGAAACTCCAATACTTTGGCCACCTGATGAAAGACCTGACTCATTTGAAAAGACCCTGATGGTGGGAAAGATTGAAGGCAGGAGGAGAAGGGGACGACAGAGGATGAGATGGTTGGATGGTATCACTGACTCAATGGACATGAGCTTGAGTAAGCTCCGAGCTGGTGATGGACAGTGAAGCCTAGTGTGCTGCAGTCCATGGGGTCTCAAAGAGTCGGATACAACTGAGCGACTAAACTGAACTGAAGCCTGAACTGTCTGGATAAACAGTGTGGTTTGTGCTAAACATCTGCTTTTCTCCTCAGAGTTTGGAAGTTTGGTAAATCCTAGGCTGAAGGTGCCGTGTAACCAGTCCTAAATAAAAACCCTGGGCACTGTGTCTCTAAGGGGCTTCCCTGGCTCACACGTGTTGTCACGACACATTAAGTGCATCCTCTTTGACTCCACTGGAAGAAACCTCTGCAGATTTGTTCCTACCCCAGACTTTGCATGCTACACTTTTTTCCCTTTGCAGATTTTGCTTGTATCCTTTCACATGACATCATAGCTATGACAATGACTATATCCCGAGTCCTGTTAATCAAGCCTGGAGGTGGTCCTGAGGACTACAACACAGATACAAAAAATAAAACTCAATTTAACTACTCCAAATATGTTTTTAAAGAACACAAAAGTTCAACACAAATTCTTACCTCTTCTTTTTTTATATCTTTTTCTTGGTGCTGAAAAAATTCTACCTTTAAGCTTCCTGATGATGGCTGCTCTGGAGGAGGTAGATAACTCTTTGTATTCACAGCATCAAAAAGTTTTTCCACAAATATCTGTGTCTCTAACAATAAAACAAAAACCAGCACAGATTAAAACACATTTCCTAGTTATTCTCCACTTCTTCACATCAGACTTCAGTGTGATGAAATATATCTTGATTTTTACAAATCTAAAAACTACACTAAGACAGACAGCTTTCCAACCAGTGTGCTATGGTACAAGTCCCATGGTGATACGGATTCAGTCAATTCTCAGGATACTGAGGGCTAGAATGAATGGCCAGAGCCTGTGGGTCAGTCCCTACCAGCCATCACTGGTCTCCATGTAGCCTGCCTAGTGTGCCAAACAGAAATATTATCACTACCTAGTTGCTGGCAAAGTGAAAAAAGCTGAGAAGCACTGTGCTAGACAACAACAGTAGTAGGTTCCTAAACAGTACTATCTTTCAGTCATTTTCTTAATCTTTTAAAGAAAAATATCAGCATTCTTTAAGAATGAGCACAGGATGTTAACAAAATAAAAAAAAGATTTCCATTATAAATAAGCCATGAATATAACCAGTAATTATACTATCTGTTCAACTTTATTACAGTTACAGCCTGTCTCTTACCAAACTCCTTTAATACTCCCTGAATCTTGTTTTAAGTAAGTTATCAAAGCAATATTTTGAAACCAAAGATCTTACCTTTTTGAAGAAATACATCCAGTTGATCAATACATAATGCCTTTAACTCTTTTTCACTTTTGTCTTTCTTTACCAAAGCAAGAACATACTTTGCCAGGGCTGATGGATCTGCATCACAGCTGAAGAAAAGAGCAATGATGAAGGAAATTTAGCCACAAACAACTGCACACTCTATAAATTCCAATTACAAACTAAGTCAGCATGATAGTTAAACAAGTCAATATATGTAAGCATCATTTAATTCACAGAAAGCAATGATGACCTAGAAGTTTTTCTCCCTCATATTAATATACTTTACACGGTACATATAGTCATCATTCAGTATCCTACCAAACATATACTAAATCATGTACTAAAGATTCAGAAAGTTCTATTATTTTAAAAAAGAGAAGTTACAACAAATTATGGACAATACCAAAACATCAAAAACTAATAAGCAATGTGGTACCAATAAAAATACCAAGAGGCTATTCTCCCCCAAACAAGGTAAATAATTGTCAGACAGTATCTGAAAAAAGAGGACAATAAAGGGAAACTTGAAAACATACCACACAATATATGAAACAAAAGAAAGTTTAGAAACAGACCCAAGTACATATAGAAATACAGATTTTACAAAGATGATATCCAAATCAAGGAAGAAGAAATGAACTACAAAATAAATGCCACTGAGAAAACTTGGCAGTTATCTTTATAAAAAATTAAGTTGGACCCATAATTTATCCCATATACCACAGTAAAAAACATGAGACCATTACAAGTATAGAAGAAAACAAGAAAAAGCTATCTTACAACTCTGAAGTAATGAACACTTTCTGAATTGCATTGCAAAAGAGTACTTTGATTATATTAATACAAATAAAAACAAAACTTAGGAGCATAAAGAAGCCTTAAAAAGTCAAATGAAATACTAAACAGAAAAAAAACAATTCTTAAATGAGTAAAAATACAACCTCATTCATCCATAAGAGAAATTCAAACTTAAAACTATACTGAAATGTCATTTTTCTGTTACAAAGTTGAGGAAATCTAAATATATGAAAATATATCCTAGAGGCAAGACTAAGGGGAAAACAATTCAGTTTTCATACATTACGGCTGCTGAGAGGAACTCAGCAGATACTAGGGTATGGCATATCAAGGTCACAAATGCAACTGACTCAGCAATTCTATTTCAGTGAATAAACTTTACAGATATACTTACATGTTCAAAATGACTTGTGTACAAGGTATTCAGTGTCACACTGATTATAAAATAAAAAATCTGCAACTGTCCATTTACAGAGGACTGGAAAAAGAAAATATACTAAATCTACACAAGGGAATGGCATACAACAAAAGGACAAAAAAGAATGGAGGAGTTTTCATGTCACAGAAGAACTTCCCTATCAGTTTGTTATGTTTAAAAGGTGAGACAGAAAACATCTGTCTAGTATATTACCATGTGTGGGGAGAAAAGGAGATTTTATATTTGGATTGGCTTATGGCTGAATAACGGAATATGTGTAAGTATAAACTATGCTTGCCTGTTGATGGGGATGGAGAGTAGCAAGTCAGTGAAAATCAAACAGGGTCAGGAGGGAAACTTTCTGATGCCCAAATCATGCCCATCGAATTTTTAAAAAGCAGATAATGGTTTTTCAACTAAGCTAAAGCTGTTACCTATTTAATTAATGATCATTTTCCAAGTTAGGGTAAATAAAATCATAGCAACAGCTAAGCACTAACATTTGCCGAACCCTTATTTGAGCCATGAACTGTGTTCCATACTTTACACTCTGTATTTAGCTCTCATTTTACTGATGAAACCGAGGCTCAGAAAAAAACTAGGCAAACTAGTTCAGACTACATGTTAGTAACAGAACCAAGATTTAAACCTGAACTACTTACTCTAAAGTCCACTCTCTCAACACTACAGCCCCCAACCGAATTGTTTCTTATAGTGATCTACCCAAAAACCAGACCTCCAATTGACTTACTGCTACAAACATCTAGTTAACAGCCACCAATTTACTTCTTAGCCATCCTAGCAAAAGACCCTACAATGCCTCTCTATACACTTAGCTGCTGTCCAAGGCATAGTTCCTCTAATTCATTTCCTCCTGTGCTCTTCCCCTCAGAGTCCATTATTTCCATAAACCTCTGAATTCCTCAGCCCCATCTGCCTCACTTTGTACTATTTTTCTATGCCACCAACTTGGCAAAAACCCAACTCAGAACCCACTCCACCCCCAGGTTAGATTTAATTTCCTAGCTTGGGTTAATTTCACACCAGCAACATAAACAATGTTCAGTAAATTGGATTTTCAAAGGACAGATGACACAAAAAGACTCACCAATCATGGCTTTAAAAAAAGGACAAATACATTAGGGAATTACAGTAGGGAGAGACAGTGACTACAAACAAGGGGGAGAGGTAGGATAACTTAGTTCATTTGAGGAAAAATATGATTCATTAGAAAAGACCCTGATGCTGGGAAAGATTGAAGGCGGGAGGATAAGGGGACGACAGAGGATGAGATGGTTGGATGGCATCACTGACTCAAAGGACATGAGTTTGAGTAAGCTCCGGGAGATGGTGAAGGACAAGGAAGGGAAGCCTGGCATGCTACAATCCATGGGGTCACAAAGAGTCGGATCCAACTAAGCGAATGAACAACACAATACATGACATCCTTCATTTTTATTGCTCTTTACTTAAAATTGTTAGCAATCTTAACTCTAACAAAATAATAAACATAAAATATAATTCCACAAGTTCTACTAAAAGTTCAAATACTAAGAGTATTAATAAGGAACCTATATACATTAAAGCTAGAAAACTATACTATCATACATATACCAAAAAGTCTTAATTCCTATACATACCTGGAATGTAACAATTCTACAGAAGTATAGCAGTAACACATCACTGAATCAAAAAGTACCTCTTAAAGACAGTGGACAACTCTGGTTGCACAGTAGTAACACTTATGGAAAATCTGACTGCAAGTGAATCAACAGGTCTAATACATAACCATCTGCATTTTGCTTCATTTATTTTATAAAAGCTGCACTGGTAAGTCCGATACAGTATCAGAATTGAGAACTGCTCTATTAAGGAACCAGTACATTTATCATATGCTGTGAAGATTCCCTACAGTACATGGCTCTGGTGACTGTCTTCAAAGTCTTCAGACTTCCCTTCAAAAGGCAGAGCCAAACTCCCCACCCTTTCAGAGTAGACTCAATTTAGTGCCTTGCTTCTAAACAATCAAGAGTAGGGCCCTCCCAGGATGGACTAAGGTCTCTCGCCAGTAGCCACATATTAATGAACATGGAAGCCAATTCTACAGACCCAGTGAACCTTGAAAACACTGCAGCACTGACCAACAACTTGACCACAATCTCTTGAGAGACTACACAGCTAACCTGCTCCAAGTTTCTGACCCACAGGAATGATACATGTCATGAGATGATTAATGTCTGCTGTGCTACTAAGTTTCAGGGTATCTGTTAGTAATCACAAATCCACTTTTCTCATAGATCTATTTCCATTTATTCACAAAGACTTGAAGTGGATTACAACCTAAATAGAAAGAAAAAAAATTCATATCAATGGTACATGAGATTTTTAAGCACTTTCTCTTTGAAATTTATTTTAATATACTTTTTTAACCAACCATTTTAAAAATGCAGACAAAATGACTTGTGCTAAGTTAATTTTTTCATGTTTACCATAATGAGCATCAAAGTACTTAAATCTATGATGAAATAAGCATGAAGAAATGGGACAATAACCTCAAGCTGTACCTACAGACACACTTATACTGGCAATCTGGTAACTGCACGAGAGACGATGAAACAATACTTATTCATGTTAGGTAACCTGAATAAACACCGTCAACTAGACCTTAATCTAACGAGGCATCAAGCTAAATACACTTTAGTTTACCAGAAATCACTGTGGTAAAATACATATATATATATATAAAATACTATCACTATCTTATACTGTTTTATTGCAACTGTTGTTAATGAACAAATTCAGTCTGTCTACACTGAGTCCAAATGCTATAACTTGACTGAGTATTGGACTGATAGCTGTGATGAATTTTTAGTTTAATAATGACCTTTCTAATAACTGTCACTTCACACTTCTCTTAGCCAAACATCAAATCTATTCCATTCCCTCCATTATTTTTTAAACAGGACACTTTAATAGGGAATTAAAATGTTAGCAGCTAAAACTGTGGAGAAAGATTTTTTTTTAATTATGGTCTAGACTGCAGTTTTATAAAACAACAAGATAGAATTGCTGAATCTTTGCTCAAAATCTCTTATTAGAAGCAATTCAAATCAAGAACTAAGAAGTCACAACAATCATAATGAATCAACAACCATACAAAAAAAATGCAAAATACTTAAAACGATCTGAAAGGCAGATTACTTTTGAAAATGTTAGACTGCAAATTACATAGAAGAAGTAAGGTTTACAATTTCACATTTAACAGCAAAGCAGGAAATATGTATTTGGGAGGTAATTTTTCTTAAGTCCTATAGGAAGCCATTTCATTTTTATTTCAACACTATTGAAAACAATTAGAAGGTATGTACTTACAAATTACAGCTAAGTAAAAAATAATCTGAACACAGAAGTTTAATATACAGAATGTTGTGGGTCAGGGACAAAACGCAAACAATGTGCTCTTTTTACTATTTGTCTTAATTAAAAGTACCATTGCTACTTCATCTGAGCATAGAGCAATAATAACCTACCATGCAAAATTAATGAAGTAAAAATATTTAAATTATGAATCAAAAGAAAACTATATTCTGATAGTAAGGGGTCAGTTATTTTCAAAAACTGTCTCCATGGTAAGCAGAGACTGTTCACGAGGCACTTTACCAGTTGCTGCTACTGACAGAAGGCTTGTGATCTGAATGACACTTCACCTCCTCAGAGCCAGTCTTTACCCTCTGCTATACTCCCAGTGTTCTGGAAGCATGTGAAAGAAAAGTGGGGCTGAAATCATTCAGACCAAGGAAAGAGAAAAAATCACATTTTGAAAATGTTAAGGACAAAGCAATAATACTGAAACTGATAAAATTCATTTCTACTTAGAAAACAGGCTGAATT